TGTGTTGTCTCCATGACTGACTATTGTAAGTGTCATTTTTGGTCTTTTGATTAAAGTTTTCATTATATCAAAGGAATTATTTTGTAATATACACTGCAGCTTAGTTTATCCTTTTGAAATACTCAAGATCAAAGGGTTACACATTCAGATCAGAACTGAATGTTTTCGTTAATGTTTTGTTAATTAATGCCAGCTGTTTGCCCCCATCTTCATGGAGATAGTTAAGTGAACTTCAGATCAGTATGTATCTAAGGAATAAATACATTCAATATTGGATAAACATTAATCATCCAGGTTTGATCATCAGCATTGATCATCGCTCAACCATGACAGTCAATATTAAGGTCAAGGTCACATGGCCAGGTTCAGACTTCATGTTTCTTTTATAATAATGTAATTGTAATGATAGATTTAGACCAAATTATTTAGTAGACCGTCACAACTTCTTTGAGGGGTATTTAGAATTTCGAGCAGTCAGGAAGGGTAATAATATATGAATGAACAACTTCTTTATTACAGTGAGAGCGTCGTTTCGGAGTAGGTTCTAACACCGTTATCAATCAAGTGATGATCACACTGAAAATTGTTATCCTTTATAGTAGACCTTCATCTGAAATAAATATGGGGGTGTAGCCTAGTGGTTAAATTGTTAAACTCGTCATGCTGAAGGCCGGATTCGATTCCCCACATGGGTGCAATGTGTGAAGCCCATTTCTGGTGTCCCCTGCCGTGATATTGCTGGAATATTGCTAATAACAGCGTAAAACCATACTTACTCATTCTGAAATAAATAATAGCCTGTCTCCTGATCAGTATTACCAGGTCAGAGTCAGAGGAGACATTCAAGCTTCAAGTAACTGGTGGTTTAAAGATAATAGGGCAGTTATTGATTGATTTCAGCTTGGTTCAGTCTGGTCACACTTAAGGTAAAATATTTTGCTACACCAGAGGTTTATATACTGAACAGCAAAAGAAACGCAAGTTTGAAAAAAATGAAATCTCTTAAAAGTAAGTGTTGATGTTTATGTCTTCTATTTAAAAACTTGACAAAAAGCCAGAGTTGCGTTTCTTTTGCTGTTCAGTATATTAATTTGGGATTCCAACAACCAAGTGTAAATCTGAAAGTGTTTGCTCTTTTTTCTACTACTCCAGACTATATCAGGATAATTAAGGCTCACCTTCTTGTCTGGTAGACAAAAAAAAAAAGATAAAAAACACTCTTTTCAAACTTATTTTTCAAGTTGAAAGATTTATGAAATTGTGACCTAGTTAACTTCTGTTTAGATTCAGCTCCAGAAACCGTCAAACATAGATACAATACTTCAATTAATGTCAATATATTTTGTTAAATTTTTACTCCAATCTAATATTGGTGGTTTAAAATATGCATAAGAAACATACACAGCATTTGTACTTGGGAAGTAATACTTAATGTCCATGGTGTTGATAGTGCAAGCAGTAAGTTATTCAAAATGGTTATGCAGATACTCAGATTATCACCTGTCATGTCAGTGAATGTTTTCATTACTTTTCAAGATGCAATTTGTTCTGTCAGCATTAGTGGCCACACATATGCATTTAAGTATTTAAATAAGCTGGTGTTCATTTTTATCATCGCTTTCAACGATCTTCTAGACGCAAAAGTTTGTTTTTAAAAACAACTGCTAAATAGATCAGGAATTGTCAGAGGTAAGGAATGGTTATGGGATGCGACAGCACTCACGAGATGTAAAGAATTCCAGACAGGTTTATGCTCCAGCGCATTGTCTGGTCGCTGTTCCAAATATTTTATTCAAAACTGATAATGATGCCATTGATAATTCATCATACTTATATCATGTATTTTATACAAATAACCCAATGCTGTTTTTTCAAATCACTTGGAAGAGGGCAGAAAAACACTGACCAGAGATCAAACAAATTTTACTTGTTTCTTTGAAGTTATCTTTTGGATAAGTGTAATGTATCTTTGATTAATATAAATATGATTCTCTATACTTGGTAGGTTGCCATCAACCTGAGACCAGTATGTAATATTCTTTAGACTTTTTGATTACTTTGTATTTGCCGCTGCATTTTTTCCAAAACAGTATGGGTTTTTTATGAGAAGTAAAATTGTTACTTTTCATATCTTTTTTTATTTTATTCCACCATATCTACATTTATGAAATATGCAAACCTAGTTATAACAAAAAGACTGTTTTGGTAAGAAGTAATAGTGTTGGGAATTGGTTAAAATCTCATTATTGATGATTGGTTCATTACAACCGATGAATCATCGAAATAATTGCCTGGCGTTATTTCTCAAATTTTCCTGTTCTGTTTGTACAAAAACTAATGAAAATACATGTTCTTTTGGGTTTTATTTTTCAAATTGCACAAAATGGATTTGCAAATTTCACATCTTTAAAGGCTGACTAATATGTTAGGAACAGAAATTTCTTGGGAGTCATAAGGGTAAATTCAATCATGACTTGGAAGGAACTCGTAGTGCTTATGAAATGTAAATTTAATGACACAGACAAAACCAACCTTGTGAAAATATGGTAATGCAAACAAGTGTTCCCAAATTGTTTGTGTTCGGTTATGAGAAAACACGATGACTTGCTTGGTCGTTTAGTCACTGCGACCAATCTTCAATTATTTCAGTTAATTAGACCACCACTAAGAAGTAATTGTGGACTTTACATTATTATTGGTAATTTACAAGGACAACGTTCAATGCATGTATGTTGGACATATTTTGATATTAACTAGGTATGGGACTTGTGTCTTGGATTATGGAGTTATGTTTTTTTCCCTTAAAAGCATTTTTTGTCTCTAAGCCACCTTCATAATTCTGACATTTTACACACATACAACACTGTACTACTAATTTGAGAATCATTTCGATTTGTGTATAGACTGTTTATTATGGTAGCCACTGTTTGTTTATAATGAGCCTATGTTGATGTTTTGTAAAGTACAACATTCAGTTGTTATGTGTTACAATCCAAATATATGTACAAGATTTAGTAACAATAAAACTATGGGAAATTAAATACTTGTTAATCATTATTGATCTCAACAACATGAACTATGAACATTGAGGCTTCGGTGGGTAGCCTAAAGGTTGAAGCCTTGTCACTTTATTCCCAATTTGGAAACATTGTATGGGGTCCATTGCTCACATCGGGTTTGATGTTGCTAAAGTGTAAGATTTAAATTCTTCCTCATCTCATGTGGAGCGGTGGGGTAGCCTAGTGGTTAAAGTGCTTGCTCGTCATGTCGAAGACCCGGGTTAAATTCCCCACATGGATACAATGTTTCTGGATATTTCTGGTGTCCTCTGCCGTGATATTGCTGGAATATTGCTAATCCATACTCACTCACTCCTCATCCTATGTAGTTGCCCAGAGATGAAAGTACTTTAAAAAAACGAATATTAAAAGGTGTTATATGTCTTTTACACTCCTTTTAGCAATGGGCTTTCAAATATTCTAATGTAATCTACCGTATGTTACCGTAGATAAGCTGTATTTTGAGGGAAAAAAACAGCAGTGTGTAGAAGGGTGGTCGGCTTATCTACTGGTTACACTTTCACGAGAAATTCAGAAACGTCATGATGGTAATATAATATATAATCTCCATCTTTGCTTTGATGAGCAAACACATTAACCATTTATCTACTCGGTCCAATCTGTGTGTTTTGTTTTACGCTGAAATCAGCAATATTTCAGCTGTATGACAATAGCCTGTTTAGAACAGTCTGCATCAGATAATCTGGTGATGAATGTTGTGAGCCGAAATCCATGCTTTAGGTTTGATGACATGCCACCTACCAAGTCCACCTGACCACTTGAAACACATGCTCACTTATTACAATCAACGTAGACTGATGGGCATAGGCGGATCCAGAGGGGTGGTGCAGGGGGGTACACACGAACCGGCCCTTGGATATTTAACCCAAACCGGCCCTGCACCCGACCCGGCCCCTGGGTTAATTCACAGTAACGATGGTTCGGTGGTAATTATCTAATGGATAAAGATTACGATTTATTTTTTTATATAAAACATAGACATAATTGACAACACAGACAGATAAAGATTTCAATTAATTTATTATATATAAAACATAGACATAATTGACAATACAGACAAAGATTTCAATTAATTTATTATATATATATATACAGACAAAGATTTCAATTAATTTATTATATATACATACAGACATAAAGATTTCAATTAATTTATTATATATAAAACATAGACATAATTGACAATAAAAAAAATAGTTGTCCCCTAATAAAATTCTGCTGCTTCACAAAAACAATGCAGATCTCTACAGTATGGGTACATATGCTTATTGTTATGGACTTGTTTACCTACTCAGTAGGCTACTGGCTACACACGCTAAATTTAAACCAGGGATAATCTACGCCATCTATTCTCCCTGTTTAAATACGTCGTCATATGAGCGAAATATTCTCAAGCACGACGTTAAAGGTCACATGCAACCAAAAAATCAAACAGAATAAAACACAATTATCACTTATTCATGACATATAATATACATTGCTGGTTATGAAAAAACATATAAACAAAAATTCAAAATTTCACCCCACCTCCCTGTTTAAATAAATGGTACCTGGTATTCCATTCAAATCGATACGTTGTCAGCACAGCAACCCGTCATCTCTATGTAGATAAAACATAGACCATATATCTACGCACACAATATATGGCTGTCACTGACAGTGTCAGTGCCCATTTTAAAACTGGTTAAATAGCGTGCTTCTGCCTGTAAGCGCAAAACGCAAATATTTCTACATCTATAAAAATACATTTTCCATGTCTGTTACAAATTTGTGTAGCTAAACGCCAAACTTTCACTGACAGAAAGGAACATGACCTTGTAAAGAATAAATGCATTATGTCACGCGATTAAGAGATTACGCTTCGCTGAGAGCACCTGTTGACAGAGTGACCTCCCTTGATTCCAGGATTGTTTACAAATGGCGACTAACGGGGTGAATCAGTGGAAGGACACTGATTTGTTTACTTGTTTATCACTGTGATATGGATTAAACACCATTGTCAGCGATGTAGATGGATTTTAGGTGGACACGTAAGTCATTTCCCTGAGGAAATCGCAAAATAGGCAATTCCTCTGCCTTATCTGACCTCGTAACCAACGAAATGTGTTGTTGATTGATTTTGTCCCATTAGTTGCCTGTGGGATGAAGTTAATGAAGTGGGGTTTTTTTCTTGAACGATTTATTTTTTTAATTAGGATTTTATTAAATGTACTTCCAAGTTTGATAAAACTACACTATTGAAAAATGTAGGATATTTTATAAATATTTTTAAACTTTTAAGAATATATAATTTTAGAGTTGGGACAAATTAGGTTATCAGCTATTGTGACGTATTGGTTAAGTATGTGGTTCTGAATTCAGATTTATTTTCTTTCAGTACTTAGAGAAATATATAGGCTATGCGTACAGTCAGAATGTTGTTCATGCATGTAGGCCTATAATTTACTCCACTTCAGAGAGTATGTACACAATCATATAGTAACCATGCAAAAATAATATTCCTAATGTTGTTCTAGGACCTGAGACTGAATATTTGTTTCAAATATCATATACTCTCCAGAAAAGAACTGAATCACATCCGGGATTGAGGCTGACTTCAAAGTGTGACTGACCAACATTTCAAGATGTCGATGCGTACAAAGATCCGTGGGTTCACAGCCTGGGTGAACCTTCGCACAATGTCCAACAACAGCCTGCTAAATAATGTCCTGATGGACTTACTGACCGGCACACACATGAAGTACCTCATTGAGAGCATCACTGGCAGGGACTTCAAGAGGCTGGAGAGTTTTGATGGGTAGGATGCACATTTTGTTGCAGCTCTAGAGATTAATGCACTGGTTTGTATCTAGACATTTCAAAAGTGAGGTAAATAACCATTTTGCTAGCACTGCTGGTTGGTTAAAATTGAAAACTTGTAAGTCTGGTGTGTATGCTTATAAAGGTTTTTGTTAGCATTTCTAGGATATCTGAAACATTTTGGGTTATTGGATATTTGAAAGGTTTTGGAAGATGAGATCTTGACCTCAGACATTCATGGTCCAAGATTGAAAATAATTAATTTTTAACTTCTTTGAGTGGCATTTTTAGAACGATACAATAATCTGTATCCAAATGTCGCATCACCTGAATAGAGAAGTTGTTCATCCATAAAGTTTGTCCTTATCTAATTATTGTTTAGTACAAAGGTTTTGACTGAATGGGGAGGAATAACTTACTGTAATCAGCTTCCAAAACAAGCATGTCTGGTGTTTTTTCCAAAAGCTACCTGCACAGCCTATGCTTCCTGTTACTGATGTGTAGATTTATTTAACACATTACATATCTTGGGATTCTTAGCTATTGTACAAATACTTATCTCTGGTGGGGGTAGCCTAGTGGTTAAAGTGTTTGATTGTCACGCCAAAGGCCCGGGTTCAATTCCCCACATGGGTACAATGTGTAAAGCCCATTTCTGGTGTCCACCACCATGATATTGCTGGAATATTGCTAAAAGTGGAGTAAAATTAAACTCACTAAACTTTTTCTGTTCCAGTCTGAGTCAACAGCAAAAGCAGACTCGAGTGGAGTGGGTCATGGAGGAACTGAGGAAATGTAATGTCATCCCATTTGATACCTATGTGGATTGCAGAATGTTTGCCATGAGGAGTGCAGATCATGTAAGTCAAAACTTGCTTTTAACCAAAGCTAAACACTGTTTTGTCCTGGTTTAAAGCCATAATTAAATACATATGTCAATGACGTAACTATGCTGCTTTCAGAAAATATATTATCTTCTTTCTCACACTCTTTTTTGCTCTCCAAGAGAGAATCTCACCTGAGTGTCTCTTGATATCAAATATATTGATGTTTATCAAAATTTAATTCTCTACCCACCTCGGTGGGGTAGCCTTGCGAATAAAGCAATCACTATTCATGCTGGAGGCCTGGTTTCGATTCAACACATGGGGACAATATGTGAAGCCCATTTCTGGTGTCCCCCATTGTGATATGGAAGTGGTGCAGGGGTGGAAATAACTTTAAAATTGCTTGTATACTCCGGTACAGTGGCACATGTAAAATCACTTGCCCTGATAATTTTTCCTCAATACCGGCCGATTTTCTTGGTGATTTTTTAAATAAACAACATAATTAACATTGGCATGTCAACCCGACACCGGTACAGTGTGATATACAAATGTGCTTGCCCAACAGAAAAAAACACTGGACTCGGACGTCGGGCAATGGGTTATTTCCACCCCTGTGGTGTAAAACCATACTCACTCACTTAAAACTCAAAGGCTAAATGTCAAATGACATGAGGGCAAGACTCTATATATCATCCAAAATATTTCACCTGACTTTTATTCAATTTGTAAACAGTAATAAGCAATGTTGTCACTGTAAATAGAAATGTTAACCAGCTTCTGTGCCAGAGTTGTTCGTGATGTCATTTGATTGTGACACTAATTATGTCACAATGGTCTGCAAAGTATCAAGATTCAGTTCCATTACAGTGATATCTTCTAGCAGATCTAGTGATATATTACGTATAGATCTGTCATTGAGTGACATGAAAAATATCACCAAAGCTGAGCATATGCAGGACCAAGTCAAACTTTGTGATAACTTGTCAGCAAGAAAACAACCACATGTATGTTATGTTTATTGTAGATATCACTCATATCAGAGAATAAAGTTTGTAAAAAAATGAACATTTTAACTTCTTATAAGTTTCTCATACAAAATAAGAAAAAGATGAAAAGTTCTTATAAGAAATTTTTGTCACTAAGAAATATATAAGATTCGTATAAGAAACACCATTATAATTTCTTATAAGTTTCTTATTCCCAATTATTTCTTATAAGAATCTTATGAGAATTCATCTTCTTATAAGAATCTTATAAGATTCTTATAAGAATCTTATAAGATCTTATAAGGTAAAACCGTATGGGCAGACAATGAACAAGGTTACAAAGTGTAAGGAAGGATAACAATATATGGATGAACAACGACGTCGTGAGAGCGACGTTTTTCATCCATATTTTGTTATCCTTCCTTACTGCTCCAACTTCTAAATGCCTCTGAAAGAAGTTACAAAATGTAGCCTCATGAAGATGTAGCTTATGAATAAATACTCCTGGGTGCCGTTGTATAAAACAACCTTAGCGCTAAGGCTACCTTAAGTCTATGTTAAGGTATGGGAGTTACGGTCACCTTAGCGCTAAGATCGTTTTGTACAACGGCTCCCTGATAAACAATTCAGTTTTTAAATTATAATTTGAAATGCATTTTGAACTCGCTTGTATGAGAATATCATATTGTCATGTTTTGTTTTTATATTTTGCTTTATATATTTATTCATGTTGCACTTGCAAGTCCTTGTATTATAAGCAAGATACGTTTCTATGTATCAGGTGTTTGAGTTGTTGTGGCGTCTGGTGAGCCATGATATCTGGTTTGTCTGGGAGAGAGCTGAGTATCTGCAACATGATGACAGAGACATCTTGACACAGGTGCCCTTCAAAGTGAGTACTTGCAAACATCTTCACTCTTCCACATTTAAATCACAACTATACATCTGTGGCTTTTATAATCTGTGTTTATTATGACTGACTAAATATTGAATGTGTTTATAACTTCTACCTGATTTAAGGCCCGCTCTTGAATTAACCTTCCAAGGTATATTCAGGGGTGGAAATAACTTTAAAATTGCTAGTGTACTCCGGTACAGCGGCACATGTAAAATCACTTGCCCTGATAATTTTTCCGCTATACCGGCCGATTTTCTTGGTGATTTTTTAAATAAACAACATAATTAACATTGGAATGTCAACTCGACACCTGTACAGTGTGATATACAAATGTGCTTGCCCGACAGAAAAAAACACTGGACTCGGACGTCGGGCAATGGGTTATTTCCACCCCTGTATATTGTATCAATCAGTATCAAACATAAGTCAGAGATTGTAACCACTTCTTGGGGTTGATGGGGGGTTGAAAAATTACAGATTCATCTTAAAACTCTGATTTTTTATGAGGAATCATCTTTCCAAACACAAAGATTGGTTGGTTAGTTGGTTGGTGTTTAAAGCCGCTCTCAGCAATATTGCAGCTATAGGGCGCGGTCTGTAAATAATCGAGTGTAAATTCGAATAACCTGTAGTTCTCTGCTAACATGTAAGAGTGAGAGGTAGAGTATGGCCAGAAATTATTGAGAATTTTAGGAATATGTTTAATTGGATTTCTAGTATAAATAACCTTGACCAGCTATCAAGTGTTTGGTTTCATTCAAGAGAGACAACTCCGTTAATCCTTTTTCATTAGTTTGTGAAGAGTTATCCCCCTTTGTTTACTTGCTAGCAGACGACATTTTCAGTGATCCTCAGTATGGATGATTTAGAGAAGAGGAAGTTGATTTTAGAGTATTATAACAAGGACATCAGATCAGCTAAAGTGATTTCAAGTAGAACAGGCATCCCTTTGTCCACTGTTTATCGTGTTTTGAAAAATATTGCAAATGGATATGGCATTGAGCACCAGGGAGGCGCAGGTAGGCCCAGAAAATTGACTGTCGGTGACAGGAGGCGGCTTGGTATTCTTGTTTCTAAAAACAAACGAAGGAGTTTAGAAAACTTAAGGCTGGATATGATTGATAGAGGAACTGTGGCTGTCTGTAAGGAGACAATTAGAACTGAGCTGCATGCAATGGGTTGGCAGAAAAGTCGAGGAATTCCATCACCGATCATGAAACCTGAACAAAAGGAGCGAAGGTTGAACTGGTGCTTACAGCATAGAAATTTTAACTGGGACAATGTGATTTTCTCAGATGAAAGTTCTGTGTGGCTGTTTCCTAATACACTGAAATTCTGGACCAAACAAACTGAAAAACCTTTGTATCAGCACCCAAAGTACAGTCCGAAATTTAACGTGTGGGGTGGCATATCTGTGTTAGGGGCAACGCCCCTCTGTGTATTTGAAGGAATATGAACAGTGAGCGGTACACAGATATTCTCGAGGGACATTTACTTCCATCTGCTCCACGTGTTCTATGGAAATGTTTGATTTTCCAGCAGGACAACGACCCAAAACATCGTTCAAAGCATTCACAGGCCTGGTTTCGGACCCAAAATATGACATTATTAGATTGGCCAAGCTATAGCCCTGACCTAAATCCAATAGAAAATGTTTGGGGACTTATGAAGGAAAGTGTCAATAAGAAAAATCTGACAAATATTGCTGAAATGAAAGAAGAGGTGGTCCGATATTGGGACAGCATGGACCACGACTTTCTAACTTCTTTGATCAGTAGTATGCCCCGCCGCATTGAAGCCTGCATTGCTGCCCATGGTGACTTGACAAAATACTAACTGTTCACCTGTCTTTGAATCTGGAGTTATGTTCTGCTAATATTCACATTTAATACGTGAGTAATGAGTGAAAACAATAAAAAATTTACAACCTTTAAATTCGCAATAATTTCTGGTTGTACTGTAATTATGCTCTGTTTCCAGTGGACCCCAGAGCCACCCCCAAAGAAGAAAAAGAAGACGAAACTGAAGAAGTCTCTTCTCACTGGTTTTGGGTCAGCCTCGTTAGTGGAGGAGAAATTACCGGGGGTGAGTCTGGCGGCGGAGACCCTCGTGGAAACTGATGGGACACAAATTATATTGACAATTTTTATTGCATAATATTATGCATGCAAAATACAAGATTAGTCTGTCAGAGTGAGTGAGTGAAGTTAGTTTTTCCTCGCACTCAGCAATATTCCAGCTGTATGGCAGCAGTCTGTAAATAATAGAGTCTGGACCAGACAATCCAGTGATCAACAACATAATACAATTTATGCAATTAGCAAAGCATGTGTCAACCAAATTAGCAAGCCTGACCACTCGATCCTGTTATTCAACACTTACAGCAAGAATTGATTACTGAAGATCAATTCTAACCTGTATCTAAATCATGGGTCTAGTCTGTCAAAAGCCCCATACTCAAAGTGTTTGTTGGAATTTGACTGTCTGTGATGGTGATTTTGCTGATAACTACAACACAAAGCTTCAGACATTATCTATCTTCTTGGATAGATCTGGGCACAGAATACTCAGTCACCTGAACTGATCCAATTTGCAGTGCAGAGTTGTGGCCCTTGGGTACATCAGAAACCTATGACTCTGGGTTTGAGTGAGTGAGTGAGTTTAGTTTTACGCAGCACTCAGCAATATTCCCTCTATATGTCGGCGGTCTGTAAATAATCGAGTCTGGACCACACAATCCAGTGATCAACAGCAGGAGCATCGATCTGCGCAATTGGGAACCGATGACATGTGTCAACCAAGCCAGTGAGTCTGACCACCCAAACCAGTTAGTCGCCTCTTACGACAAGCATGGGTTACTGAAAGTTTATTCTTACCCGGACCTTCAAAGGTCACTCTGGCATTGAACTGTTGTTTTGCCTGAGCATGTTCCAAGTTTGTCAAACCCATACCCACACTCATCAGTTTCACCAAATTGGTAGACATCTGTGATACGCATCACTTTGGACTTTCCTCGAACATTAAGCTGATTTACTGTGAAGTAACCATGGTAACAGGAATTTGTTAAAAGCTCACTCACTGTTGTTTCTCAGGCTGATGTACCAGACGAACAGTGGGTCAAGTATCCCAACTCAGAGTTTATGAAGAACTTCAAGAGGAAGCGGACGGCTGGCAGATACCCAAACTCGGATAGATGTATCCTGGAACTTGTAAATGCTCAACTGAAAGTAAGTTAAGCATCGACAATCCTGAAATGTTGACTTGGTTGTTTTGTCAGTACATTTTCTTTATGTTTGGAACACTTAAAAAAATTGTTTCATCTGCTTGTTTGTGTTACCGTTATATTTAGTTTGCTGGCTGATGGTATCCTGGTAGAAATATGTTTATCCACACAGCAGGGACATGGAATTTCTTTTGTTAATTCCTAACATACTGAACCAACAAAATTTTTGGTCATGTATTTTTATAGGGGAATATATTTTATGAAATTCTGTGCTCACACTTGATGATAAATTGACATGATCCTAAAATATTCTGGATCTGATAAACATCTTGTTGACAACATTAAGGTAATGTTGTCTTCACTCTGACTGATGTTTTGGGGTGACTAAATAAATTGTTTCATTGTTTAATTGAGGAATTTTTATCAACAAAATACATATTGGTCATTGTGGTGAATAATGCAAAATTGTATGATTTTGTCAGTAAGCTTGATAAACCAAGGCGATCAGTCTCATGTCCTGTTTGTTCTCTGACGACTTGAAGGAATCTTACACTAATGATTTAAATATATTGCACAAAATGAGCTCATTACAGAACAGATCTCCATGGATTCGTGTAGGTAATTAGGGAGCAACCAAATTTGATTGGAAAGGGAGAGAGGTATCATTTGAAATCAGCATGTATGTATGTTTATGTTGGGGAACTCAAATATTTTAAAATTTATTTATGTTTAATTATATTTGTAAGTTACCAAATTAATGTTATACAAGACATATGTAAGAAATAGTTCAGTGTATCTGGGGTTGTATTAATTTTTAGACAAGAAGTTCTTTCCCACCTCATAGAAGACAAATGGTTGCTCCCTTAGTTATGCTCTAGAATACATTGTTATCAGAAGAAGACTTCAAACTCATTAGATGATATTTACAGGAAAAAAAAGACCTTTATTGGAAATTAATTTGGAAAAATCTTACCAATCACAACATTCTTGAATTTTTACTCTAAATTTTCACTCTTATTTCAGAAAAGTAAAGAAGGAAGCAATCTGTTTTGTTATGTGAGTGAATTTTAAGCTTCCTGAAGAAATACATGTTCATTTTCTATATAAAAATACTATGTAATACATACATGAAAATTAATTTATATCTTATCTAATAATTGAGTCAAAACGTATTCCAATAAAACATTATAATCAATAAGTTTTTGCTTTCATCAAAGTAGACACAGTTTTGTGTATGCTAGTGAAATTTTAAAGATCTCCTTATTTTTCTTGTGACTACAGTTTATTTGTCATGCCAAGAATTATTTTTGATGATGGATTAACTATAGTAGTTTGAAAGAAAGGTGCTTTTAAAATGTTATGGAACAGTATGAATCATCCAGCTATTGTATCCCTGCAGAGTGTGGATGATCTAGTCGACAGCCGTGTGCTCTGCATCCTCATCAACTCCTACGTACCCAACACCTTCACCACCGACCTGCTGCTTAACGACAGGTGAGAACACACCTGTACAGTTTAAAGGTCTACAGGTTCACTAACTGCAGCAAAGAACGAGCTCGGAATATGTAAATGATAATCCATCAAAATGGCATGTCCTATCTCTGTGTCTATTACTGACTGACTGAGTGTGGGGAATCGAACCTGGGTCTTCGTACATTTCTAAATACAAAAACGCTTTAACCACTAGGCTACTACCGCCCCTGTGTCTAATTAAAAATGTGAAAGTAAACCTCTTTGTATTAAATTGAAGTGAATGTCTGGTACATTTCTAAATACAAAACTTGTTTCAACTGTCCACTGGTACGCACAGTAGAAGTATGTTCATGTGTTTTGAATTTGTTCATGACCAAATCTTAGAATTAATTTAATACGTGACCATTAACTGTGTCAATAAGAATAAAATATGAAAATAAACCCAATTTTATATAAAATATGGCATGAAGATCACTTTGAAGTGAAAGTCAAGCAAATTCATAACAAATTTAAACAAGAAAATGTATTTCAACTGTCCCACTGATAAGTATGGTGCGTATGACAAAAATGAAGAGAAAAGAATAATGTTGATTTGTTTATAACCTACATGTGAAATTAATTTTAAATAAATCTTGAACCTATGAAAATAAACTACTTTGCTGAAGACAGTGGAAATTTAGATGGATGTGTCAGGAAATGATGAAGGCTTACTAGCGTTTATAGCTGAGATTAATTCTTTAGCTCTGTTCACCAAAAAATGATAAAAAGCTAAAACACAGTGACCAGGTGTGTAATGATCACTGAAACTGTCAATTACATTACATTAGTCCTTTGTGAAAGTAATAGCAAGATTTACTGGCTGTAGTTCCATCAATACTGTGTTATGATGATTTGACAGATGCCCTTTATTCTGTAATACATTGATCCTCTGGTTGATGGTTTAGTCCTCAAGCCATGTCATACCAAAATGTGCGATAAGATGGAACTGGTTATTTTACCAACTTCCAGCATTTTGGTGATAAACCAAGATATAGCTTCCTTGGATCAGTGTTTGAGGATGGTTTTACACCGCTTTTAGCAATATTCCAGCAATATTAAGGCGGGAACACCAGAAATGGGCTTCACACATTGTAACCATGTGGGCAATCGAACCCGGACCTTCAAACAAACACTTTATTCTCTAGACTCGGAGTAATGTGTGTCTGTATGGGGTATAAATATTCTTGAACCGGACATTGAACCCTGTTTCACCAAGGACTGAAACTAATTCTGTGTAACAGAGCCAGTGAAGGTTGATTTAGGGAGGTAAAGCTTCACATCTTTGTGTAGATTTACTGTGGTAATTGTCACTGATACGCTGCTAACAGTGTTTTCAGTTTTTGCAGTAGAATTTCTTACTATGTCTTCAATGATATTCAAGTGAGTGAGTGGGTTTAGATTTACGCTGCTTTTAGCAATATTCCTGCAATATCACGGTGGGGGACATCAGAAATGGGCTTAACACATTAACGGGTCTTCGGCGCATGTGGAATAAGAAACTGACCTTTAACCAAAGTGTGGGCCATTTTCGCAGAATTCCCTAATGTATTTGCCATAATAAACATCGAGAAAACTTTGTAAATTGACTAATAGCTGTGCTTATCAAAACAATGCTGAGAAGTCAAACAGTTATGAATGAACTCAAATAGGAATGAAACTAAAACCACTTCTGTGACAGTTACTTGGCAAATGAACCTTTGGTTCTGCAATTTTCTGTAAACAATGTGAAATATTCACAACCAGCTATAGACTGCCATGTAGTTTTTTTATCAAGGAAGTTGTGCTTCTAAATATCTCTTACAGATTGGTCTATAAATTTGTTAGGGGGTACCTTTAGGAAGAGGGTAAATATGCTACTTTACATTGAGCTCCTGCTTTATGTTAAACTGTATAATAAATCTAGACCTTTCATTCAGCATCTCCTAAATTTGTTGTTTGTAATTGACCAGCTGCCTCTGAGTATTTGCTCCCGTTACTGACACAAACGAGTTTTGTTATCTCTACAGGTGGACAATCAACATAGCCTTAAGAGCAGGGGAGAAAATGTTCAAGTTTGAGACACCTTTTGACTCTGAAGATTTGGTAGAGGTCAGTATCTGTTCTGACAGTTGTGTCTGTACAGTTGATATGGGTAATGTATCACTAGCTGTGCATTTATATACTGATGCACTGAACAAAATGAGTTCAGGATCAAGAAACATTTTCAGGATATATTTTTGTATTGAAGACTGAGCACAGGATATGAAAATATCCCTAAAATGATTCATTATCCTCACATATATTGTTCAGTACACTACTAGTGATGCAGCCGATATCTGAGGTACTAGTAATTGGGTTGGGTAGCTTCTGAGCAAGATTCCAGTACCTGAGTAGTCACATAGAATAGAATAGAATAATACTTTAATGCCTTTTCAGGAATTTGTGTTACATCAGCAGAGCTACTGACACATCAGAGAGATACAAGACATATTTACATAAATTCATTGATTTAGGTATCTTCACATTTGTTTAAGAGAGATATGGTACTTGGAATAAAGGATGTATGGTCTCTCTTAGTTTTCACATTTGGAACTTTGTAGCGGCGGCCTGAAGGGAGGAGGTTGCATTCCAAATTTAAGTAGTGAGTACGGTCAGATATAATTTTGACAGCTTGATTCACAATTTGCCGCTCATATATTGATGATAACATTCAAATCTGACTCCAGCGATTTTACTTGTGATGTTAACAATTTTGTCTATTTTAGATTTGAGATGAACTGAGAGAGACCCGTACCAATAATGGAAGGAAAATGTTAAAATTCTCTGAATAAATGCCACATAAAATTATGACATCACAGATGGGTTAATAAATTAAAAGATCTCAGTTTACGCATGAGATGAAGATGTTGTTGACACTTGACATGATATGTTGACCGACAGTAACACTAAAACTGCCATGGTTACAACTACAAGTTAATTATGTATGTATGTCTTTCCAGATATGCATGCATTCCTTTTGACTTAATCTGTATGTCGGAAAAAAGATTAGTCTCAATTGAACTTCAGTGAATGCATGATTTGATTCTGTTATATGTGAGTCTAAATAACTTTTGCCAGGGCTCAGTTAAAACTGTTCCCAATCCGACATATTTGTACCCAACTCTTGCAACCTACAGCAGGCACTGGGGTATTGTTCAGTAATAAGGGGGGACCCATCCCAGTACCTGTATGTACCTATCATTCACTTAAACCTGCTTAGTCCGGAAACTGTACATTCAGGAAGGTTTTGGTTTGGTTTGGCTGCTGTTTACGCCGCACTCAGCAATATTCCAGCTGTATGGTGGCGGTCTGTAAGGAATCGCGACTGGACCAGACAATCCAGTGATCAACACCAAATTGTGTGTACCTGGGCAGGGCAATAGAGGGTTGCGTTCTAGGTAGGGCTTCAACGAGTCCATTTTTTTGGACTCGAGTAGTCGAGGGGTGAGACTCGACTCGGACCCGAGTACTCGAAATTCATACCTTTCAAACAAACGATTGCGCAACCGGCATGACGTGTTCCGATCACACAAGTGAACACTTACTTCTTTCCGTCTACATATCGTCATGTGACTAACATTTCCTATTGGTCAGAATCAGTATTTGGATGTTTACTTGACAAACGTTTTTTTTCTTCGTACTTCTTGTACTGCCTGCAAAACGCAGTGAGATACCGCACAGGCGGCATTTGGTTATTTTGCTCTTTACACTATCCAGATGAAGATACGCCCATACGTTTGATTTTTTTATCTTTCTCCATTCTTATCAATTGCCAAGATAGTTACCTAATCATTTTAAAAAAGTGAAAACTCAAACGATGTATAATATTTACTCTCATCTTCAGACTTGTAGCAACTAATATCATACAGCCACACCGTGTGAGGAGTAAACTATTTAATCTAGGTGTTAATAAAAACATTATCAGATGGGTTAAAGAATTCAGGGTACATAGAACTCAGTATGTCAGTATCAATGGCTATCAATCTTCTTTGCTCTCAACCTCTACTAGAGATCCACATGGCTGTGTTCCTTCATCCGTACTCTTCGTTTTGTATACCAATGACTGTTACTTGTCAATATATGACTTGTTTACTGTGAAATTTGCAGATGATGCCACTGTTACTGGCCTAATTTCTGATTCTGAACATTATTATCGTCAAGGCATTGACAAAACCGTAATGACAGTTTTTTTTATCAAACCTTTATTCAAAGTGTGTTGACCTACAATTTTCTATGTTGGTATGGGGATCTGTCTCATCTCAACAAAAACAAACTTTTCAAAATTGTTAATACTGCTTGCAAAATTTCTGGAGTGTCTTTCGAGTATACTCCCTTTATCAATGAGCGCCAGATTGTCAAAAAGGGAGCTAAAATTAGATTTGATAGTTGATATATTTGATCTCACCATTTTGAACTACTTCCTTCTGGACGCGGCTGACGATTACCTTCCCTCAAAACAAACAGAGCTAGGCAGTCTTTCATACCATCAAGTATTCGTGAATGCAACAAATATTTTGAATCACCATCATGTGATTAGAACTAGAATTATTCAGCCTCTTTACCTATGTGGTTAATTGAATTATATCATGTCAGTTTTATTTGTAAATAGCATTCGTTTTGAGCATGTAATCATTGTGTATATTTTTGTGAACTGTGCATATATCCACTTCGAGACAGTTTGGATGTATAAGAGTTTCCTCCGGGATAATAAAGTTATATCTTAATATTAGACGTTAACGGCCGCTCATGCTTAGCACATGGCAGACAGTCTGTCAACGTCAAATAATCCGAAGTTATCTTCCTTTTCGAGTCCTCGAGTCCTTGAAAATGGACTCGAGTCCAGCTAGACCCGACTTCGTCCTCGAGTACTGAGTACCTCGTGGAAGCCCTAGTTAAAAGAATATCAACAACAATTGGTGTGAATTGTAGTTTTTCTTGAAAAGAGTAAACCAGCAATGTGTTAATTGTTTATTTAAATGTTACTGTTCAAAACAGCAAACGTGAAATTGAAAAGATGTGAGTTGTCAACTTTTTAAAGTCTCTGATAATTTGCATACAAGGTGTTAAAGTTTTCGTGATATATTTGACATATACCAAATTGGTCCTATTTCTACTTTGTTCCTTGCTGTAGTTATTCAAGGGTGTTATGAAGTCCTCATAGCTCCCATGTTTCTGTTCCCAGGCTGAGCCAATGGCTGTGTGTTCCTATTTCTGTACGTTCTTCATGCTGGCATACAAATACCGCCAGTGCAAGGCCGTGATCGACCGAGTGGTGAGTAGGACATTGTACCTCATGATACCTATATATGTGTACCAGGATACACTGTCCTTGTTATACAGGTGGTGGCTCTGGTTTAACACGTTTCATGTTTCTTGCAGTTGCTGTATGAAGCAATCAATAATCATGTTAAATTTTATACAGATAGATTGAAACCTTAATGTTCTTCAGTAAGTACATAATGTTGTATGTTTTTCTTTGAGTGCTTGAGTGAGTGAGTGAGTGCAGACACCACTAATGGCAATAGCCAATACTTCACACAATACATTGCACACTGCAGCTTATAAAGGTCAAACCTGTTACTGATTGTGTCACAAACTGTATACAACTGTCACAAACTTTCCGCCGACATTAAATATTTCAAAGCAGTGTTATGCACAACTCCCTTAATTACAAAGTTTCACTTCAATTTGCAAGATTCTGGTGCCACACACAAGTTGTAGACCAAAGTTTACAGGGAACTTATTATTATTGTTGTCATTTTTATTATTTATCTTATTGTTGTGTTGTTCTTTTACAAAGTGAATGCCAGGGAAAGTATGTGGGAAAACACCCACAAAGAAGCATCCTCGCTTTTTAGATAGTTTTTATAGAGCAGTCAGCATTACCTTTGATATATTTGCATGTATTATTATTGTGTTTGTTTGGAAAAGTTTAAGTTTTTGTTTCGGATGTCCACAGAACTGGATCAACCAGCTGATCCGCGAGTGTAACCATGAGTTGGAGAAATTCCCCGCCACCGTAACCAACATGGCCGACCTGCAGAAGCGGAAGGACATGAAGGCTAACATCGAAGCACACAAGGAGGGTAAGGTGGACTGCACTGACAGATTCTGTACGGCCAGCGGCAGCAGCGTCTCCTACACTCCATCATTGTCAGAATTATTCCACCAGTGAAAATAGGATACAAAATAGAATACAATATTTCCCCTTAAACTGTCAATCAACCCATGAAGATCTGAATTAGGATTTATCTTCAGGAACCTGTCAGGAGCTGGTATAATATGGTTAAATTGTTTAAAAACAATGTCTGAGGTTGAATGCTTTTACTATGTGGACCATGTGTGTTGTTATCTTCATCAGTAGGGGTGAAATGGTGTGCTGCGGTATAAGTAGAACCGCGGTATTTTGCCTTCGGTTCGGTATACCGTAACGCAATCCAAAAATTCGGCCTTTTCGCTTTTCGTACAATCATTTCTATCTTGTCATAGAATGACAGTTTTGTTCATTTAAAATAACAAAGATTATGGTTATTTTTCTTTCAATGTTATTAAACATTGTAAGGTTTGGCTCTTGTTGTCAATTTTCTGCATTACGATCATATCTCATGTACCGAACCAAAACGGACCGAACCAAAGACCTTGTACCGCAATACGTACCGTACCGTGGTAAGAGAGTACCGTTTCACCCCTATTGATCAGATTCTGTTATTTACCGATTTCCATGTTTTCCCCAGCTGTACAGAAGACGCTGCGGCGCTATGACATGCAGTACTGCAAGGATCTGGTGCAGCACGTGGCCGACGTCCGCCTGCAGGTATCAGAACTCAAGCTGCTTCCAGTCTTATCTGTTTGTGTGGATAATGTCATGAAATGTGTATGAACAATCTCATTAAAAACAGATCTTAGTTCTCTGATTCAGTGGGAGCAAGAACGTAGATCTGAGTTTACTGAGAGTGTGTGAATAACATAGATTCATTCTATCTGTGTTTATAATTTATACCAAATTTAAATGTTTAAGTTGCCATGCATGCAAGTGTTTTAATCTAGTTTATGAAATTTTATATCCTTGAACCACAAAACTGAAATGCTTCCTCATGTGCAAGCCTGTTCCATTCTCTCTCAAAGTCTTGTAAGGTTACCATGGAAACTATTATGGACAAGTTGTTTGTTATTTCCATCTGTTCTAATGTTCCAATGTTGTTAGCATTTCTTACATAAGGCTTGTATGGCTTCAAATTTAGTATCATGTATTTCCTAGTGTTTGGAATTTTAGTCAAACATATTTTTTTTATCCTCCTGTAATAGACTCAGTCTACCTGTGAAGATCCGGGTTAGAATTGGTCTTCAGCAACACATGCTTGTTGAAAGAGGCGACTAACGAGACCGGGTTGTCAGGCTCACTGACTAGGTTGACACATGTCATCATATCCCAATTGCGTAGATCGATGCTCATGATGTTGATCACTGGATAGTCTGGTCCAGACTCGATTATTTTTATTTAACCAGTCGGGTGAGCTACAGAGCCTGTGTCTGTAGTGATTTGTTTGTAGCTGTCCTGATTCTTTATATTCTTCTATTTTAGATTCACAAGGAGATTCGAGAACAGATCCGGCACCGTTTTGACAAGCTCACCATCCCCCGCAACATCACCATCAACGACCTCTGTCTCTCCTATGTCATAAACCTGGTGAGACTGCAGATCTAACTGACTGATTACTTCATATGTTTTCAAGAGTTATTCTGTAGCTACCATATGTTCAAATTCTCTCAGAATACAGTGCCATAATGTGTTTTTTGTGGATTGTTTTTTTTTTTTAAATGTCAGGGCCACTACCAGAATATCAAATCGTCACAGTATAACTGAGACAGCTTTTATATAAAAGAATTGACCTTCACTCTGTGTAAATCAAAGATGGCTGCTGATTGGCAGTTTCCTCATATCCAGAGTTCCAGAGTTCAGAACTCACCTTGCCCTGTGGGTCTGAGAACTAGGCTTTTCTTACAGATGACTTACCATAACACTTTCGACAGCAAATAACACCAGATTACATGTATTTTATCTTTTTGCCTATGACTTAAGCAAGTTATAAATAGAATACATGGAAGGCAAAGGAATTCCATGAGAAGGGTTTTCCCATGAATGTTTTCTCGACCATTTCCTGGAGAGTGACATCTCGAATCTAAACATATTTAAATGTATAAGTCTGTTACGTCATATGCTTATGAACATCAGTTTCTCGATCCAATATTTCACAACATTTAATATCCAGTGGAATACTTTACACTCCTCAGTGACTACTTCAATATTGCATAGTGTTTAACATTACTATGCTTTGTGGTACACATCTACTTTAAAGTGTTGAGACAAAGTGCTACTCTACATTGTTTGTGTATAGATAAATACCAGAACTCTCCCAATGAAGTTGTTTAACTGGACATTATATACTGAGGGAACAAAATAAGGGATCAATGAAAGCACAAGTGTTCCTTTTATTTTTTCCAGGTTTCTTCACAAGCGTTGTATCACATAGCGTTGTATCACATAGCTGTATCACATAGCGTTATCTGACATGAAGAAACCAAACAAATAAAGGAACACTTGTGCTTTCATGTGATCCCTTATTTTTCTCCTTCAGTATGTATATATATTTTTTCAGAATTTGATAATCTTGAGGGTTCTGTTTTTCTGCCATACACGATACACAAAGTGTTTGTTGTAAGATCTAGGACAAGGATTAAAATAATGTTGCTGTCTTATGAAGTGTATGTATTTGTTTCCCCAGACTCTCACGAATGGTTCTGGGTTCTACATGATTGAACAGAAGGAGCTGCTCACTGAGGGGCGCAGACTGGTGCTCAGAAATAAGGAGACTGGAGACTTTATTGATGACTTCACCAGTAAAAACAAGGGTAGGTCTATTCTTCAGCAGTAAAAACTAGGGTTGGTCGGGACTTCACAATAAAGACAAAGGTAGGTCGAGACTCAATAGTAAAGACAGGGCTGGGTCAACACTTCACTTGGGAAGTTAATTGATGACTTCACCAGTAGAAAGAAGGGTAGGTTTCACCATATTTACAGTTATGGCCAACTGGAAGTTTATTTTGGACTTCACCAGTGAAAACAGGGTAAGACCAGTTTCATGTGTTGAGCAGATCTTGCCTGTCCTTTACCTTGACTCACCTTGACTCACCATGGTGTTTTACAGAGTCTGTCAAGAAGTTCCTGCGTCTTCCAGATCTCAACGTGGTGGAGATTGATCCTGCCAAATACCCCAAGTATGAGGTACGAGACCATACTTAATGTCTGAAGACCAAAGTGTGGATCCGATTCTACACACACTCTTACAATTTGCACATTGGTGGTTTTAGTTCATAACTCATTCTAGCACGACATTGTGTGATACTCGATTCTGATTGGCTGAGAGCTCATCAAAACCGTACTTAAATGTCTGTTTAAGACCGCTAATTAAAGTGACCGATTCACCGCGTAATGAATACAACGAACTCGTTGACCCTATTGTTTGTAAACAAACATGTCGGACATCGGCAATTTCTATCTCGGCAGCATCTTTGGTGTTTTTGAAGTAAAAAGCGAATGGTTTGAAGAAGAATTTCTTGACCCTAATCCCAGTGAAGAAACTACAAAGCTGGAAAATCTGTCAGCAGCAAAGCCAGTATATTCAAATCGGGTCCAGATCTACGTGTTGACATCGACAACACATCCGCCCCACACGTCCTAACCTGACCGCTCCGTCCGTCCGGCCATAATGCCCAGTCCTTCCACTTCCACTGTCCATGTATCCCACATAAAACGTGGCATGTCAGGTGTTTTCCAAATTGGGAATAGTAGGGTGGTTATCAACAATTATTTCCATGAATAAAGTTAGCGGTGACTAAACCTAGCGAGTTCACGGCTTGAATTTGGGCGAGTCAATTGTCATACAGTAGGCGAGATCAATAATTCACTTGAGAAAAATCAAATAATTGTACTTGCTCACGGTATAAACTGTATTTTTTTTATTTATGTATGCTACTTGTTACAAATACAAGCATACTGGTTCCTGAAATATAGCATTTATGTTGTTGAAAATGTCATATTTTGTTTATTACACAACCTTTCCTTCAACGGGGAGATTCCAAGCGATTTCCAGGAAAAAGGCCCCTTCGCGCCTTGTGTTCTTGCATGCCAAACAGTTCGGTTTTAAAAAGCTTATCAGTCGTGCTCGAATGAAGATTTCAATTTTTAGGTCCTTTATCGTTGATTTAAGACCGCTAAATGTTTAATTTAAAACCTCACGCTAACATGTTCGGTTTTTAAATTACATTTAGCGGTCTTAAATCAACGATAAAGGACCGCAAAATTGAAAACAGAGTAGCTTTATCTTCTAAATGAACCCCTCAAAATACACAGATAATCTTCAGTGTTAACACACACAGAATTACCTTTCAGCTGTTACAGTAAAGTGTGAATTTGGTGCTGGTGTTAGTCAGTGAATCCAGCACAACAGAATGCTTACTATGCCCCTCTTTTTCATGGGAAAAACATCAGATTAAATCATCATGATTTTAAAAATATCTGTCTTAGGACCAGGGTTTTACACAGACTTTTTAAAATGGGAGTCATGGTGACTCACAATATTTGTTTTTGGGAGTCATTTTCAATATTTGGGAGTCGTGAAGATTTTAGTATCTTTGTGTTAGCCATTCTCAGTATGTAACTGTGTATGTCACACCACCAAATGCAACTACAGCATTGTTCAGTTCAAACAGCCAGGATTACTGTCTCCTCTGAGTTCTCTGGAACAATCTGACAGCTTTGTAAAAGTCAAACTATCATCGAACAATATCATTTTTTGCTTATCAAATCGATTTTATTGAACTGAATTGTGAGGGCCCCCATAAAACTTGCATCAAGCTTGACTCGTATGGTAATATTTTGAGAGTCGTTTACAGAATTGTTGCGTCAAATACGCAGGAATCACGCGTCATGTAAAACCCTGCTTAGGAGGAGTCTGAAAATGTACCAGAAGACATACTTATAATGCTGGTTGAATGCTTGTCATTCCCAGAGGGTATTCAGGGATGCCATGTGTTTTCCTCCTAGTTAGGGGCGGTGGGGTAGCCTAGTGGTTAAAGCGTTGGCTCGTCACGCCGAAGACCCGGGTTCGATTCCCCACATGGGCACACTGTGTTAAGCCCATTACGGTGTCCCCCGCCGTGATATTGCTGGAATATTGCTAAAAGCGGCGTAAAACCAAACTCAGTCTGTCAGTCCTCCTAGTTAGTTGTGATGACTGTGAGCCACATGGTTTTAGTGTCCCACATCATGAAAACTGGTGTCACAAGTAACCACTGAAGTCCATTAATAGAAACAGGCATGCTTAATTTTGTAGAATTTCTGTGTTTAAAATGGAATTTAGTGATAGAAATTGGATGTGGACCGTCTGAAGTGTGACCATATTTCTTATCACAACAGAAGTACTGGTAAAGTGTGATCTGCATGTTGAGTTCTAATGATTCAAGTAACTATTTCCCAAGTATGTAGTTCAAGAATCCCCACTACACCCTCTGTGACAGTCTTTAGTGATGTCGTCTGCTGTGTTCCAGTTTTACCTGGAGGCCCCAAGTCGCAACAAGCAGCTGAAAGCGGGAACAGTGTTCCTGTACCAAGTGTTCCCCGGGGGAACACCATCGCCTGGCAGAGGATGTTCATCCGAGCTGCCAAGGATAATGAGTACATCATTGTGGAGAAGATGATCTCGTTCTTCAAGGGAACCCCTTCCTTCATCAACTGTAGGGAACCAAAGACTGGGAACACAGCTCTTCACTGGGCCAGTCGGAATGGCCATTATGTAAGTATGATTACTTCAAAATCTTTAGTTCAGTACCATGACATTCAAAGTCAAATATTAAAATAATCGAGGTTAGGTTTGTTTGTTAACGCCACATCCAGCAATATTCCAGCTCTATGGCGACGGTCTGTAAATAATCAAATCTGGACCAGATAGTCCAGTGATCAACAGCATGAGCATCAATCTATGCAATTGGGTTATGACGAGCTCAGGTAGATTCTTTATATCAGCACTAGAGAAAAGGATTTTATAGCATCAAGTGTAATTTAATAGGAGTGTGTAGAAAGTACCTATTTCATGGTCAAGAAGTAGGGTTTAAATCTAAGGTTTTATGTTATTAACAAGATTTCATTATTCACATTGCCAACAGTAGGAAACCAACAGTGAAACCTTGTATCTTTGATCTGTATGGACCATTGCAATATTGTGGTGTCCTGTTACTACTATTGTTAGTGTCCTGGGTCCCCATCCTCAAAGTCGTGAAGTCGATCGTGAGCACTCACGACAGTCGTAAACCTATGTCTATGTTAAACTATGGGAGACGATCATATGCTCATGTCGTAAGTCTATGTTAAAGTATGGGAGTTAACGCTTACAGGCTCGACCAGTCGTGTCTATGTTAAAAGCATGGGAGTTACGATCATCGTAACACTACGATCGTTTTGTGGAATGGGACCCTGATACCACAGACATCAGACCAGATGTGCTAAGTTATTTGCAACCCCATACTTTAACATTAACTTGCGATTATTGTTGCACACAGAATGCTTTGCAGAACAGGGCCCTTAAACTATGACAGAATGTCAAGATAACAGATTTCAAATGAACAAAGTGTAGTTCTAGTATTTAATAAATTTGAGAATTTTAACTTTGAGTACTGAATACTTAATACAACAATAGAACTAAACATTATGATACACCTTACAATTTCTTGTGACATACTCCTGACAAAGTGGTCTTAGCATTGTGATAATTATAGTGAGTGAGTGAGTGAGTTGGGTTTTATGCAGCTTTTAGCAATATTCCAGCAATGTCAAGGCAGGGGACACCTTAAATGGGCTTCACACATTGTGCCCATGTGGGATTCGAACCCAGGTCGTCAGCGTGACGAACCGACGCTTTAACCATTAGGCTACCCCACGCCCTGAGATTATTATAAGTGTGTGTTAAAGTAACAGAGTTATGACTGTTCTAGTGCTAAGACCACTTGGTGCAAGAGAACCCTGCCATGTTGAGGTGAGATTTATTACTACAAGTGTATCCACCTGTTTCAGGACATTGTGTATCTCCTCCTGGAGAGTGGCGCCAATATCGATGCCAAGAACAACTTCCGCTGCACACCCCTCAACTCGGCCATCGAGGGCTTGCACAGGAAAATCTCCAATGTAAGTGTTTTCTAGGAGGTTTCACAGGGGGCATATACTAGGTTTTGAGACAGAAATTAGGATTCTGAATTAGAATCTGGTTAAAGGCTCAACAGAATGTCTTGTCACGTCTGACAGTAGAACAGGTAATTGTGAAAATATTGTTTTCTGTTTCTGCTCTGTGAGTCAAGTATCAGGAATAATGCCTCACATGGCCACTCACAAACTCAATCAAGAATGAACGAACTTACAAACTCACTCATGAACTGACTCACTAATGAATAAATGCATGGACGAACAGATGAATGAATGAATGAACAGGCGAACGAATGAATGGATGGATGACGAACAGATGGATGGATGAATGAATGAAATGCACGGACGAACAGATGGATGGATGAATGAATACACGACGAACAAACAAACGAACAACAAAACCATTCACTTGTGCACCCACCCACTCACTTACTCACTTGTCACTGTGTGTGATGTTGCAGCTGCTGATTGAGTGGGGCTGTGACGTCCACTGTAAGAACAGCCGCGCTCAGAGTCCGCTGGAATGTGCCAAGAATGATGACTTCAGGAAATTCCTTATAGGTGAGTGTAGGAAGGCCCAGGAAATCTCTTACTAAGCCTGACTTCATGAAAACTGGCTGAAATTGGTTTTAATGAGATAACTGACCCATCATCTCTGGGAATCACTGCAATTGGCATGTTCAAGAAACGTTAATGTTTTATACTTCAAGGTGTTCTTCCAATTAACTATCCTAAAACGTGAACATGTACATACATACCTCTGACTCTTGTAAAGCCAGCACGACAGTCATCTCATTTAGTAATGTTTCTGGAAGTATAACTCCTGTTCACACCCCATTCACAGGACTGTACGACCACTACTCCACCGTGGTTCCGAAGATCATGAACGGGGACGTACAGGCGCTGGACGAGGCTATTAAACAACATGTGACTGGAGAGAGGGAGTTTGTCAGCCTCACCAGCAGGTGAGTGGAGGTCATATAGCGTGGATGTATCTCCCCTTAGCTCTGACACATCAGCTGTGTAATCTCTAATTAGGCCAGGGTCTACATCCGATCAGCCCTCATTGGACCATGCAAATGATGTTTTGTTGTCAAGTGGTGTCATGGTGGAGTCGCTTTCACCTACATATTGCTGGAAACCATACTCCATTAGGCTTTCTTGCTGGTGCTAACCTTAACAATTGCAATATTAGCGTTGTTGTTGGACTCACATAGTTTGACATGATGCAGGCTATGTCTTGTCAAAGGCCAAGGTCAAATATCGTCACTTTCTGGACAAGGTCTTGTTGTCAACCCCATCAGAAGATAACATCTCATTGTTTCCTTTAAGCGGTCAGTTATCAGTGATGGTAATGGGAGATGTGGGCGGCATTTGATGGAGACCTCGGGCTTAGGACTGTATCATATTTTTAATATCTGACCCCCCTATGACCCACCACCTTCACATTTTATGTAATTGTTTTATCCTTACTAACCCAAATGATTTTATGCCAGCAAATATTTAGGTCCTCAGAATTAAACATTTGTAGTCTGCTTGTGTTGTGCACTGCGTTATTATTACCCTGGGTAATGAGTGAGTGAGTGAGTTTAGTATTACGCCACCTTTAGTAATATTCCAGCAATATCGCGGTGGGGGATACCAGAAACGGATTTTCACACATTGTACCATGTGGGGAATCGAACCCGGGTCTTTGGCGTGACAAGTGATGGGCAGTGGATCCATGTGCACATTTTCTGCTTCCTGGGGAACATACAACATGCTGCTTGCGAGGAACTAGAATGTTAAATGTCACCTTTCCATCTCATCCGCCCGGGTACCCATATAACCACATCACAACCATCTCATCCGCCTGGGGGTACCCATATAACCATCTCATCACAACCATCTCATCCCCTGATAGGCCATCTCATCTGCCGGGTACCCATATAGCCCACATCACAATATCTCATCGCCCGGTGCCCATATAGAAAACATCTCATCCGGCTGTCTGATATAACATATTCAGAACACACATGGTGAACAGAAGGAAATAGATGTTTTCATTTTTAGCTTGGGTCATATAACCACATCACAACCATCTCACCCGGTACCCATATAGCTATGCTCAATGCACGGGGATTTTAAAATCTCATTTTTAGCTTAAATAGCGTGCCGCATTTTCGTTTTAAAATCTCGTGCATTTTCGTGGTCATAGCTGACAACAGCGTTAATCAGTTGAACATCGGCGGTATTGTTAGACATATTGCTGAGGGACAGTGTCGTCCATATAGAGCTCCAGCCTGGAGATACAAATTGCTAATTAGATTGCTTCCATTATCTGGAAGACATTTATACAGACGTTTACTTATCATTCACACTATCGGTGAATGTGCAGTGTGGGGATTTGTCCTTGGGTTTATTCTTTTGTTTCAGTTTTGGTGTATTAAATGTTCAGACATAATTCTTATGACTTATCGTTTATTTTATAAATGGGGAATACGAACTGCCTCATTCCCACATGGTGTACGCTCATACTGTGAAATAATCAGTAACTTTTCTTTGATAGATGTCTCCATGGCTTGATGTGAGACAAGTGTGATGCACTGTATCAACATAGATTGTTTGATGATGTCACTTCCTGTTCAGGTGCATCAATGGCAGCACACTGCTGCACACCGCTGCATACTACGGCCATCTGGTTGCAGTGAAGGAGCTGCTGCAGCAACGTGTGGACATCAATCTCCATGACTACAAGGGTGCCACGCCCCTCCACCGTGCCAAGGACCAGGACACCATACAGGTGAGTCCATCAGTACTTAGGGCTGGAACGGGTACTCAGGTACTCGAATCCGGGTCGGGTACAGCTGGAATCGAGTCCTATTTCTAGGAATTGTGTACCCGGAAAGGAGAGAACTCTGTAATGACAAGGGCAGATAATAACTTGTCTTTTTCATTATCGACGTAACACACATTTACATCATTGGTATTGTCCGATTAATGGAGGTTATTATTAACGACTGTAATTTATCTGCGCATGTGCAGTGAGTAGTCAAGTTACAGTAACAGTAGGAACGAAAAGTGTATTTTAACGAGCAATGTAAGCAATGGTGTTACTCTTTATATTGGTCAAACAGACATAAATGATATAGCTTGAGATTATTTTTAATGTCTTATTGCCACCCATATAAGTTTTCTATAATAACCTCTGTCAAATCGTGATTGAATATTCAGAAAGTTGACAGAAGAGCTGTTTTCCTTACATTTCCGGGTACTCAATTCCGATTTGGGTAAGTACATGCGGGTACTCGATTCCATTTTTTCCTACCCGTCCCAGCCCTATCAGTACTACAGGACCAGTGTTACCATGGTTACTAACTGTTGAACGTGAAACAGGGGCTGAGTAGCAAATGTTTTAAACATAAACCAGTTGCTGTCATTAATTTCTATTGTGTTTAGTTGTTGATCGTTCCTAGAGAAGATAGTAATTAATAAAAAAGTATTATGGAGTTTCTGATATTCATCTTCTAAATGCAGCAGAAAAGACAAAGCACCCATGGTTCTTGTATATGTCAACTAAATTGAGGATTATATATGAACTTGTTTGAGTGACTGAGTGAGTTTAGTTTTACGCAGCACTCAGCAATATTCCCGCTATGTGGCGGTGGTCTGCAAATAATCAAGTCTGGACCAGACCATCGATCTGCGCAATTGGGAACTCATGACATATCGATCCTGTTAGTCACCTCTTACAACAAGCATGGGTTACTGAAGGCACATTCTAACCCAGACCTTCACGGGCTGAACTTATTTGTCATTATCACTGCAGTCAGCCTTTGACTATTATCAGATCCACATGGTAGAGATGGTATATGACATAAGCATCCTTAACTCACTACAAACATATCTCCACTACATAAGAAGTATAACTCTTTCGAAAAAAAGGAGGCAATTGGAATCAGGTGATGTACAGACATCCCTTGGTCATGCCAACTCATGATTGTGGGTTTGAATCCCAGCTCACACTAATTATGGTCCCAGGTTTGCCAGCACCCACCTGTGCTCAGTGGTGTCTGCGTCACGCTTTCCTGTAGGGGCAGTGAGGTAGCCTAGTGGTTAAGGCGTTTGCTCGTCACGCCAAAGACCTGGGTTAGATTCCCCACATGGGTACAATGTGTGAAGCCCATTTCTGGTGTCCCCTGCCGTGATGTTGCAGGAATATTGCTAAAGCTGTGTATAGCTAAACTCACTCACTCACTCATGCTGACATGCCATGACATAACTGGAACACTGTCGAAACCGAACTCACTCATTCATTTTCAGAAAAATAGTTGCTCTATGTTATAATTTGATAATGTGTTTCAAACCATATGACAATTAAATTGTGAGAAAGGTTTGTTTTTTCCCAGCTGAAACGCGGAACGGGGGACTATGTATTCAGCGGCGTCCGTACGTCCGTACACTTTTCAAACTCTTCTTAACACAGCATCTCATGGACTGTTGTACCCAATGTCTTCAAAGTTGGTGACAGCATACATTGGGGGATTACGCAGACACCAGTTGATTTTGGGTGACCTTGACCTTATCTTCAAGGTCCCCACGACACTTTTCACACTTAACTCTTGTTAACGCGATATCTCATGAACTGTTGTACCCAATGTCTTCAAATTTGGTGACAGTTTACATTGGGGTATTACACAGACACCACTTTATTTGGGTGACCTTGACCTTATCTTCAAGGTCACCACGATACTTTGACCACTTTTTAAAGGCGATATCTCATAAAACATTGCACCCAATGTTTTCAAGTATGTTGACAGCCTACATTGGGTGATTATGCAGACACCAGTCATTTCAGGCATCTTGTATGTGACCAAAAAATAAAAAGTAGTAAATATAGATATTCCATTCTTTAGTGGTGGGGGACATTGCCATATCAGTGGCAAACACTTGTTTTATAATGATCTCTGTGACACACAATGAGGGTATAGGGTAGAATGGTAGAGAGGAGGATGTGTGATCCTGTCATGGTATCTTGCAGCTGCTGCTGGAGCACGGAGCTATCATTAACGCCGAGGATGCGGAGGGCAACACGCCGCTGCATGTCAAGTGTTATGGAGAGTCCGAGAAGCCCACGGAGCTCGGCTGTATTGAGACTCTGCTCACCAAGGAAGCCAATCAGATCAAAAGAAACAACAGGGTGAGTTGATGGAACACTCTCTGTCTGAACCACTGGTTTGTCTTCAAGAGTGTTGATAATTTTAATACTACCATATTGCCCCGTGTGTCTTACTACAAAGGGGCGGTGGTGTAGCCTAGTGGTTAAAGCATTTGCTCATCATGCTGAAGACCCGGGTTTGATTCCCCACATGGGTACAATGTGTGAAGCCCATTTCTTATGCCCTATGCTGTGATATTGCTGGAATATTGCTAAAAGCTGCGTAAAGCTAAACTCACTCACTTATGTAATATGTGTTATATTCGGGATTACACTTTCTTAGTAAAGTACAGATTCTAGTACTTTGTTTATTTGAGTCAGGCACCTAATCGCCAACACACAAAGTCAGCCACCGTGACTTCCACATAACATATGTTACATTTGACCACTTTCTAAATGGCATTGTGTAATCACCACTCACTTATGACAACGTTTATTTATTTGTTTGTTTGTTTGTTTGTGCTTCCAATCACAGAACGTTAGTTACATTTTGTGTTTTATGGTCAGGGTCTACTGCCGATCCACTGCTGTGCTATGCAAGGACGTGTCGATGCCATGCAGATGCTGCTTCAGTTTGACATCTCGGGACAGATCACCAACACTCTCAACAGTGAAGAGGACAGGCAGCCCCCCAGTCTCCTCCATCTTGCCATCGCCAACGACTTTGTGGAGTGTGCTCACTGGTGAGTGAGTGAGTGAGTGCTGGTATTGCAGTAGTGTTCTATCAGGAATTTAAGAAGTTTGGTTCCTTCTTGTCTTGTAGTCCTTTGTTGACTGTGTGATGTGTTTTCCTCAGGCTGTTGGAAAGTGGCTTCGTGTTCAAGGCAAAGGAGACAGACATCTTGATGAGGAGGATCTTGACAGAACAGATCAAAATGTGAGTCAGTTGAAGGGGAAGGTCATTCTAACTCAATGTTGAGAGTGTCTCCCCATTGATTTAATTAGCTGCAGTAATATTGATTATCCCAGCCACGGAGGTTGTCATGTAAGTCCAGATCATAGCCCAGGTCATTTATTATTATTATTATTATTAATAATATTATTATTATTATTATTATTATTATTATAGGATATTTATATAGCGCACATATCCAGGCAACTAGTGCTTGCTCAAGGCTCTGGTATTTTTTCCTCATTTCTTGCCCTTCTGCACATCATTTCGAGGTAGACACAATTTGTCCTCTACTTGTTTTCATTATACAAAGCGATCTTAGGGCTAAGGTCATCGTAACTCCCATACCTTAACATAGACTTACGGTTGTTGTAGCACTAAGGTTGTTTTATACAACAGCACCCAGAGTGCCGTTGTACAAAGCGATCTTAGCACTAAGGTGACCGTAACTCCCATACCTTAACATAGGCTTAAGGTAGCCTTAGCGCTAAGGTTGTTTTATACAACAGCACCCAGATCATTAATGAATCCCAGATTTCTGTGACTGATGGACAACCACAGCCACTGGCATACCCTTTCATAACTTAATAGATCAATTGACTTATGTGGTTTTTTTCAGGGAATACTGATGTAACACCCATACAATTTTTGTTTTATAAAGGCTGTAAATTATAGTCTGGTAATACTTATCAGGAGGCCAAATGAGTCCTTGGAGTTGTGTCCCCTGGTCATGCAAGGATACACTGATCATGGGTTTCAATTCCACTTTTAGCTGATAAAATAATACAATTCCAAATTCTGTTGATTTCATAAAATTATACTGAAAGCTGTATAAAACCAAATTGTTTAAAATTATAATGATAAATGTGATAATATTTTGATTGTGTCATGTGATACTGTGTGTCAGGAAGTTTGGAGTTACTTGTTGATGATGACCTCAATGATTATAACAGTGCATTCTATAAACACTGCTCCTATAGTTAAACAACTACCTACTTGACAACGGTACAAGAATCTGTATTGAAACGTCACACTCACGAAATAAAGAAGTTGTTATCCATAAAGTCTGTCTATATTGTATAGTGACACAGACTTATCCCTCTGTTGCAGTAACAGCCGAGCTGATGCTGTCAAGTTTCTCCTGGAGTGTGGTGCTGATCCCAACCCTCGATATCCGGGGGGCAACAGGTGAGGGGGGTCAAACATGAAACATAATACAGGAAATATACATGACATAAGATGAAGCTTTTGGAAGGCATTTAGAAGTTGGATGAACATGAATACATGACATGGATAACAACTTTTTATTCTTTACAGAATAAGAATAGATAAGAAGTTGTTTTCCATAAAACGTGTCATGTATTCATTACATAAGATGTCTGGTAATATGATCAATCTAAAATCTACAGAAAAAAATTATGCTTTGAGCCAAGGTCATGCCAGTAGACTAAAAAATTGTTTGGACAAAATGGATTGTTGGTGGAATCATAGCTTTTGAGATGAGATAAAAACAAAACAATATTCTCTGTTTAAGTGATGTATAAGACAATGTTTCAGATAGGATCTATTCATTCAACTGATTATTTCCCTTAAAGGTTTTTTCTTGTTTTGTTCATTCAAACACCCTTTACTTCAAGCAAAACTGGGGCGGTGGGCAGCCAAGTGGTTAGCCTAGTGGTTAAAAGCGTTGGCACGCCATCTCAAGACCCGGTTTGAATCCCCACATGGGTACTATGTGTGAAGCCCATTTCTGGTGTCCCCGCCATGATGTTGCTGGAATATTGCTAAAAGCGTAAAACCAAACTCAGTCAGTCAGTCAGTCAGTCAAGCAAAACTTTTAGGGAATTGGTGTTGCATGTTGCAGTGTTAGTTTGTGCGCAGTCAGGTCTTGCAGGAACTACTTTTTGTAACCTCTGTACTTAGATGTGTGTTTAGATCTTCAGAGAGTATTACAAGACTGACTGACTGCGTATGGTTTTACGCCACTTTTAGCAATCTTCCAGCAATATCACAGCGGGGGACACCAGAAATGGGCTTCACACATTGTACCCATGTGGGGATTCAAACCCGGGCCTTCGGCATGACAAGCGAACGCTTTAACCACTGGGCTACCCCACAGCGCCGAGTATTACATGAAGTTCCTTACATGATTAGATGTTGGTTTCCTGATGTGGAAGCATGTGGATGCAAAATGTTTGGCACCATATCATAAATGGGGCAGTTCACTTTGTATTCCTACGCAGTGTTTAATGTTACTATAGTGAATAGCAATATGTCTTAAACTTTTATTATTTCAAGAGTGACAAAGGCATGCATAACAGCAATACATGATATTTACTACATTAAAACATTCATGGCGAATAACCTCTATTCATCTTCTCACCCCAGTGCGCTGCACTACGCTGCGAGTCTGTCTGGTCCAACTGATGTCCTCGAGATGTTGCTGTCATTCGGTGCTGATGTTGACAACACCAACTATGAAGGCAGTACGCCGCTGTTCTTTGCAACACAAGGCAACAACCAGTTTGCTGCCTGTGTTCTCATTGGCCAGGGAGCCAACGTCAGGCAGAAAAATATACAAGGTATGTCTTCCTGTCCCCAAGACCTACAGACACTTATGGTTGCACATCACAAACTGTCAGGAGTGGGTGTTTTGGTAATATTCCAGCTATATAATGGTGGGGGACATCAGAAATTAGCTTCACATACAGGACCCTTGTTGGAAATCAAATGGAAACCTGACATCCCTTCATTTTTTATAGAAGACCATTATTAACACATTTAGTATGAATTGTGAAATCAAAAAAATGATATCCCTACTTCAGCAGTTTCAAATGAGATCTTTCTTCAGCTGGAATACTGTTGTCATGACATGAGAGCAACACCACTTCTAATTTTGAATTAAAAAATAAACTGTCTTCAGACTTAGCTTTAGCCTCAAATCTGAAGTGTTGTGAGAGTACTGTCAGTCTAGAAAGCTCATTATAGAAACACTGGCAGATCCTCATTTTTTCACCTTCTTGTCAACTCTGCCTTCAGCTAAGTCACTTTTTCAAAAGGCTTGTACAATTTAACAACGTATGGTATGGATTTACAACTTTACTTTATATTTACAACACATTTCTGGTCTACTTCTTGCCTCATTCACGTGATAAAGAGGCAAAAGTAGCCCAGGAACATCAAGTTGTAAATATAAATAAGTTGTAAATCCATACCATAAGCTACCGTAGATAAGCCGCATCTCATAGATAAGACAAACTGACAAAGTCGTCTCTCTTGTTTGTTTGTTTGTTCATGCTGCGATACCATGTCGTTTTCTTACCCTGAAAAAAGTTTGACAAAGTGTAACCCATAGATAAGCCGACCCTTCTACAGATGTCTTAGGTTCAACTTAGTTTGTATTGTTCAAAACCTTGAAGGTCGTTGCGTCCATTTGCTATACTGTCCAGTCAAGCGTAAAGATGGCAAACAAACCCGGCTACTGTTTAGGGTTTGGGGACTTACAAAATGGATTTTCTCTTCCCCGTCGCCAACACTGATCTCATAACAAATGAAAACCAGCATAAAACACAGATATATGACCTGTAGAATATATGCTTTTGGGTTTCTGTTGACATGGCTATCATTAGCTAATATATCTGCAAGCTGACATCCTTGAATACTGACAAAATGCTATTCTCAGCAACAGTTTACTCACTCGGAAGCGATATCGTATTGAAGAAAAAGCATTCAGAATCGCCTCGAGGTAAAGTTTAAAAAGTATGTCAAATGTCACCTTTAAGCAATTTGTGCTTTCGCGAATGATTGGTCCATTGAAAAGGTCAGCTGACGCGACCTTCCACAAGGTTTTGTTAGACTCAGTATAGCAGTGGAACGAATAATACTGAGCCTAAGTTTACTTAGACTGCTTCTACAGACTACTATTTTGGTCCCCACAATTTGGCTTATCTAGAGTAATAAACGGTACATTTTTATGTTACCTTCCAACATCTAAATGACCATCAAGCTTGTACAGTTTTCGGCAGCAGATTCTAACCTTTCAGCACCGACTGTTTTGATAGAAACAATTAACAAAAACCTTCAGACTTGGTCATTTAGGTTGGGTTATTTACATCTCAAACTTCTCCTTTCACTGTATTTAGGACGAGACCTCACCAAGATTGAGTATGGGTACCTCATTAGGATGAGAAAGCCACAATAACTCGGTGCGCCTAGTGGCTGCAAGAGTTGTATACTCCCCAGGGAGTTGAGATTGATAATGCGATGTGCCGTTGAGATTGACATCCAATGATCGAGGGGAAAAATATCAGCGCCTTGAGCATGCACTAGTGCGTGGATATGTGCGCTATATAAATATCCTATAATAATAATAATAATAAGATTGAATGCCCAAGCAGGAATGGAGTGTTATCCTGTCAGCTGTACCTTTTGACATGAACAAAATGAAGAATATTTTATCATGGCATTTAGATAAAGAATGAACTTAGTTTAAATCCAATTTTTAACACCTTTAATCACCACCTTTGAATATAAATGATCTCAACTTTTTCTGCGACTTTATCTGCACTCCACTTCATCAGTTTGTCCATGTTAGCACAGTCTATATTTTAATATTTAATATCTCCTTGATGTGTCTAATATACATTTGTCTGCTATTTCTGTTGAAGGTCTGTCTGCATTTGACAACATTGTAGACTTTGAGGAGTGGATCGAGTCAGGCTACTTCACTGACGATATCAGAGCAAGGCTTCAAGGTACGACATGAGCTTTCAAGTCTGATTGTCCATCATATTTCTCATGTTTCGCACTAGTTTTGGTATGAAGAAAACTCATGTTAACAATTCAGTGCTCGGTTACAGAAACGTAATTATCCTGTGAAGTGGGACACTTAGTGGTTATAATATTAATGGTTATCGGACACTTCAGTGAAACACAGTTTGATTTTCATTGGGAAATGGTTCTTGGTTTTGAGATCATACTCTTTTCCAAGCTCTAAGAGCTCTATTTTTTCTGTATATTACTATTTTTGTAAGAAATTAATATAATGAAGTGTATTGTTTCGCCACTTAAATACAACGGAAATGGAGACTTCTTGTAATGCAAGGGATGTTAAAAAAATTCAGTATAACTATGGCTTGATAGTTTTTCCATGCAACCCCTCCTGTGAAAGATGAATCAAGAAGTTGTTCTCCTATGTCAAATGTCAATTACACAATCATGTTTTTGCAGCCTTCAGTCTGAAACATGCGAGGGACCTGATCCGAGCGATCTCCAAACGCGTGAAACCCAATCCAGTCATGATGGCCCGCCAGGACCTAGCCCGGTCAGCAGCATTGATGTCCCAAGTGTCCAGCAGTCCCATAGCCTGGACACGGTCCCAAGTCTCCATCCCGTCAGCCGGGTCCCAGAGGAGTCTTCTCCCTCCCATCACGCCTGCCATCACCTTCTAGACGATATGTGGGGTTCATACTGTTACCATGGTTACAAGACTTAAGCATCAATGACTGACGAGGAGGCTGTGTTCATGAGCTTATAGTTACAGTTCATGAGCGGTCTATAGTTACAGTTGTCATAAATCACAAACGACATGGTGAGGGAATATGAATATTTTAGCATATCATGACAGGGGTTTAATTCTTAGAAAACTCACTTCTTCAGAAAGGACTTCACCTAATGTACCCTTTATTGTCATGTTAATCGAAACAACCTGCATAGGATGAGGCAATACCATGCTACCCTGCCATCCAAAACAATCAGAGAAACTAGTTTCACACCAGTGTCCTCAGGAATAAATGGTGTATGTAAACCTGGCACCTAGGAAATATTGTAAATTTTGACTGTTTGGAAATAAGAATGAATGTCTCTCAAATATTCTCACAGTAGAGTATTGGCCTTTGTGAATAGTTGTATGAAACGGTTAAGTTACAGCAGGTCAGCTGACAATGCTTTACCCTATCTACATAGTAATGGCTGCTTAGGGCTCAACCAGGTTATTCTGCTCAATATGGCGACATGTCTCATGTATTATACAGCTGAAATCATTTGTTTATATAATCATATGCTTGTTTATATAATTCTACCAGCACTACCATATTGGACTGATGGACTGATGGACTGATTTGATATGTCTAAGGCCCTGTTCCACACAACCAACACAGAGCTGTGGCTGTCCCATAGTTTAGCACCGACTTGTGACAGTCTTAGATTAAAGGCATAATGTCACACATTTTTGACAATATTTTGGCCTATATCATATATTTTGAGGCATATGCACTCACTTTAGCTTCCTATTGATGCAATAAAAGACTTATTATCCCTTATGACTTGCCTGAAATCGATAATTGAAACTTCCAGGCGAACAGCTTCCAAACAGAGAACACTTGCAATATGGAGTGTAAACAATTGCTCCATACATCGAAAACTGTCACACGCTGTGTTGTCGGTGTTTGCCGAACTAGTTTCAATCACAAGTTGTGCGTAGGATATCTGTAAAGAGCGCTCCAAGGGACATAACTCTGTGGGGTTCGCTTGAAATAATGTTCAGCCGGTAGAGGGCTGAGACGATTTGATGCCATGGTGCATTAATTCATTCCAACAAATTCGAATAAATTATGTGGTAGCTTCCCTGAGGGTTGATAGTTAGTATTGAGAGAAATGTATATATTTTTAAAGAAGTGTGGTGTGACATAGTTCCTTTAAAGACAAGCTGGAGTGGGGCCGTGGGACCTGTTCAACAAATCAACCTTAGTACTATGAGTAATGTAGGCCAATGTTAAAGGATGGGAGTTACCATCACATTAGCACTAAGATCACTTTGTGGACTGACTGACTGACTGTGTTTGGTTTTACGCCGCTTTTAGCACTATTCCAGCAATATCACGGTGGGGGACACCAGAAATGGGCTTCACTCATTGTACCCATGTGGGGATTCGAACCCAGGTCTTCAGCGTGACGAGCCAACGCTTTAACCACTAGACTACCCCACCGCCCTCACTTTGTGGAACAAGGCCCTGTACTTCATGTTAAGTTTTGTCCAAAGTCAATACTATGACAGGGTATGTCAGGCACTATGTATGTATCCCACTGCCAACATCTCTGGATTCTGTACGAGATCTCTTCATCGGTGTGCTTGACGCATATATCCAGCATTGTTTATATGCAACTCAATTTTTGCTAAGGATCAAGTCATCTTTAGTCATAGGTGTGATCCTCATCAAATATTGAGTAGTTTACCCAATGCCTGTATGTTTTGTAAGCACCTGTATATTATTAATATGTAAACTCATGCTTTGCTCAATGTGTGTGTGAATATATATAAATAATCTTTGAATATTTGATAAATTATAGACATATTTATTGTGATATATAGAATATATTTATTACGATGAAATAGTATTGATATTATACATATTTTAATTATATATTGAAACAGGGCAGTGTATACAAGCTCAAATACATACATCATTCCTTCTTGCCAAATTTTGAGTTATGTATTACTTCTATACCAAAGATTATGCATGTTTTTAGAAGGTTGTATTCTGACTAAAATAATGTAATGTTCAGTTTTAAAATAAGCGTTAGTAATAGTATTTTCTTGGATTGTTTCTTGATCGGTTTCTAGTATTATTCTATAACTGACCTGGACTTTCCACAAAATGCCTGCTAACCTAAAAATATTAAAGTCTATCAAAAACTATTTCTAGACCTTCGATGGCATTTGACTGAACACAGGGTGAAACAGGTGCAGTATGTGAAGATTACAGAGACACTTGGTTGGAGTGTAATCTAAAACAATACCAAGCACTGGTAACATTTTCATACCTACACTTATGTTATTGGTCCATCAGATGCCAAAATATTTTACCATAACCAGGATTTCAATATTTCCATGAAGTCCACTGAATCTGTATAATGTGTCTTCAAAAACAATTTTTTTAAATTGAAGCATGAATTATAATTAAATACTTTGACAAAAATTAATTATCCTGTGTAATTGATAATTTGTTCAGAGTGAATATCTACAACAGCTACAACTTACCTTTACACAGCTTACCCCTCTCTTCCCTATAACCACTGTTGTTCCTAGCTGGTGTGACGTAGAAGTCGATATTATGTGAGTGGATTTTCTTAGAAATGTCCTGTTCATCACACAACTGTCTGTGACGAGTGGAAAACTGAATTGCCCTGATGCACATCATCCACCATAAAGATTTGTAAATGGTTGAACTGATGTCTCCTCTTCCTTGAGTTCATATCTGTTATACCTTTCCAAGAGTGCCTTAAACGCACCCTCAATCTTCCTCTTAGTAATAAACTCGGTCTTTTGCCAAGAGCATCTTTTTTATTTGTTCATCTGCAGAATTGGACTATTACACTGCAATACATTTAGGTTTTACTCTGAAAATGACCTGCCTCGGAGACTTCACACTTAATTTTGAATTAGTGTGCAGGCAACCTTGACACAATAACACAGTAAGTGCCAAGTCCACACAGTACAGCAACTACATAATTACGCTAGCCAACTGATCCGATTCTACTCAAATTTCATTCTCAGCTCCTTTGGGAGTATACAACCCAAGCTGCCAATTAGGACTAGAAACAAAGTCACCCATTCAACAACAAGGTTATTATATTTTTGCCTGATTTGTGAGTTGTACACACAACCAAGGAGATAAGTCACAAGGATCTCACCCTTACATTCAACAAGCAAAGTGACAGAGGCCCCACCACAAGATTCCAATCCTAGATTCTTCTTATGACCACTACAACATACTAGAGGAATCCAAAGATTTCTGGAAGCACATTTTGAGACCAGAGCTCCAGATAAGATTTAGCTCATGTTGGTACTGTACCCACTGTATTTTTTGGAGTGGGTATTATGAATGTTAAGTGGGTATTTCATTTTCCGTTACCCACTGCTTTCAAGTATGTGGGTATTTCAGTCATTTTACTCAACTAAGTATATGTCATTGAGTAAGTTTACTAAGCAGGTATGTTCTGCCTTATGTCATACCTAATCAAAACCAACTTAAATATAATGGAAATGATTTCATAAAAAAATCACTCATCCTATACTGACAGTACAACACTTGCCCTATACTAACAATCGATGTCTTTTTCATTACGCAAGCGATTTTTATAAATATATTCCGTACGCATTTGTTGTAAACTTTCTGCGTATCTAACATTTTAAATGCGTAATTGGTACGCAACAATTATTTTTCAATGCGTAATTCTATGCGTATTTTACCAGGATACGCAGCTTATCTGGGCCTCTGTTGAGACTACTATACAAAGTGCCTGCAGTAAAAACCAAAACACTGATCTTTATTTTTAATATTTTATGATCAAGAGATGACTTTTGTACAGAGCAAACAATGACTACAAGCAAAAGGGAAACATAACAAAATACAAAAGATATGCATATTTCTAAAACGATTTACACATGTAACATTGACAATGTTCTAATATACAATGGAAAAATGAAGGTTAAAAAAGTCACTTCCTAAAATCTGATGAAGCAAAGCATTCAACATCCCTTGTACCCATGTAAACAAAGTGCATTCCCACAATAAAAGTGCATTTCAGAGGCAGCAATATGAATGAAAAGTGCCATGTTTGTGTTGGTCAAGGCCATTAAAAGGCCACGGTCATGTTCTTGCTGAGTCAGCATAACGACAGAAACAAAGTCAACATCGCATCCCTCAAAGCAGCAGCAGGATTTGTTGTAAAGCATGAAGCCGTCTGCTGGAAAAACATCCACATCTATGATGGCATTCCCTGTCCTTGTCTTGCTGAATCCGGCTTCCAAGAATATTTGGTCAAGCTGGTGTTGGAGTGACGAGTCACCTTGGAAACTAACAAAGTTCTACAATTCCCATGACAAACTGACAAAATTTACTAATTACAATAGACACCAAGGCTTTGCTTCATCTTGAGTTTAAGAAATGACCATTAAATAGAAAACTGCATCAAATGACATGCACGGTGAGAAATAATCGGCCACCCTCAACACAAACCATTAGCTGCTGTTCATCCTCCAATTGGTCCTGATGTAGACACTATAAGCATTACCTTGTCTAAACAGTCTCACACTGGGCTCATCATCCCTGTTGAGAGGTGCCAGGCTTGGAAACAGTGCCGTCCTTGAAAGTCAATCTTATATATTACTCTGCTGATCTAGTACAATTTTGCAATACCTGGTTATTCTTGAATCCGTCCACAGAAAGAAGGTAAACTGCTGGAAGCAGGAGTTGGGAACAACAGCATGGCAACTCTTGTAGTCAAAAGACAACTGAGCTAACAGTGAAAACACAAAAATGTCTTCTCTTTGGTAAAGACAAGATTTGCATTTTCATTGTTCTCATTACTGCAATGATTAGTAATCAGACTTATGCTCTGACTGAAGAATTCTGGTATTCAGTCCATTTGAAGACAGGAATTGTATCAAGAGAACATAAGCATGTTAGCAAATTATACAGAAGTTCTTACCTCAGTCTTACAAAACGACAATGGCAGTTGCTTCATCAGAACTGACTTTCTTATGACAGGGTTGAACACATGCGTACATAGTTTTTCATTAAGGGATATTTTGTATGTACATTGTGTGAAACTGTAGAATTGTCAAACAGTTAAATAAGGGATACTTTTGAAAATGTCTAAATATTCTGGAATTATTAAAATTGAGACAAATGATAAACCTAATTTCTCATCCTCGCATCACCTGCGGTCCTCCATCTTCTTGCCTTGAACCATACCTACCTTCATTGTCTGGTACAAGATCGTGACCAAAATGAACTGACACTTTTGAGTAGTTGGTACTTAAATTCAGGGTAATAAATACACACCATCATCGTGAGAATAAACCATGTCCTACCTGGAGCTCTGTGCCTCCTCAACAACACAGAGCAACTGAGACACAGGAAGTATAAAGATGAAAAGGTACATACTTACTCTTAGTTCTTATGGAACAATCGGCAGTGTTAATCGGAGACATTTACATGTGTTCAGTGAGACCATGTTAACTCACGAATCAGACACCCTCAGATATATCCAGCTATCTGCAGTTTGAGACAAGGGTTCTGATAGGAGACCTCAGCGCTGTCACTGGACCGTGAAGATTACATACCCTGATGTAGTGCTAACCAGGTCTCACGGTGTTGGATTACACCGTCACAAGATTAGACTCCAGTCACTGAATAGTCCCATCACAGAGTCACACTACCACGTCTTGCCATGAAATACACTCTCCCGACCCTCACCACATTCTACACAAGCTGTGTGTGCCAGATGTCAATATAATACCAGGAATTTGTTTCATAACATATTGAAAATGTGGGGTTACCCGATTCACGGCTGCAAGCTTGGTTATGGTAATCACTGTTTTGAACAGTATTTCCGTTGTATCACAGCATATCTGATTGATGGAGGAGAAAGATCGGAGATGATGCACGTCTAAGAAACCCACTAGAATGGATATGGTGACTTTAAGGGTGGGGTAGGGGGTGTCACCCATTTATTTATGGGGAGGTCATCAATTTTGTACATATAACTAGGGGTCAGCAATTTTGCACACAAAAATATATAAAAATTATGCTTAAAAAATATGGGAAGAGGGAGGGGGGTCATTGATTTTGTACATGACATGCAGGGGGCTGGGGTGTCACTGACTTGTACATATTTTATTTTTTTTTTTTTTTTTTTTGGGGGTTCCACTCACATTGTACATGCTTCTCCATAAAAATCATCATCACCCCCCTCTTGCCATAAATTATGAATGGTCCCTTGGTCCTGGGTGAAATTAACCGGCCACCATAACATAGCTGAGATACTGCTGACAAACAAGTGTTCAGTTTTCAGTTATCAAGACTAATACCCCTAGGACCCTGTGACAGGCTACTGAGTGACTGTAGATTTCCCTCCCTACCTTCCAGCTGACCATGTCGACGCGGTTCCTCGGCACCTGGGGGTCCAGCGTTAGTGAGTGGAGACAGGCAAAACAAGGGCCCTGTTGTTCAATGTTGGTCAGGGTCCGTAAAAGCTCCCATCTGGACACATTCACCGGTCACCGATGTGACACATAAGTACATGAAGAAAATGATTCTGCACAGCTACATCTCAGAGATGCTGCATCAGCCTATGTAACCTAATCACAAAGAACTCACTACTTCATCAAAACCTACTCTTCAGTGCCATGACAAAATCTCAATGCAACAAAGATCAGCCGTAACCATGACAATCATTCAATAGTGAGATGTTAGAATCATTGTGAAAGGATCATACAATCTGTACAAAAAAGTGACTGGATTTGACAAAATTTGGTAACAATCTCAACAAGCATTCTCAACACACAACTGGGTTAATCAATTTATCAATGGACAAAACAGTCTGTGATTATAGAACAATCAGGTATTGTCCCATCCTGGATGCATCTGGATACTGGATCTATCTCCAAGGCAACAAGACCTGTTGCCAAGGTAACACTATAAATGTAATGAAGGTTTACATGTAAAAGTCTGTTCTTGGACAACTATCATCAAAATGACAATTTTCCCCTTTTGGGAAATTATCGTAATGAACCTGACTACACTTGAGAACATCTCAATCTGACAAGACCATCAAGTGGCTTTCAAAGAGAAATGTAGCCCTCACAGTCTATGATACATTAATAAGTGTTAAGTCAAACCAAAATTCCCATCAGGATTCTCACAACACATCTTTCATAGTTACAGACATAACTGCTTGAATGTGTTCAATTTCTTGAGGAAATAGTATGATATATTTATTAAAAATGCAAGACCTATGGTAATTCTAATTTCTTCAAATTACCAATAATCAGTATGACAGGTATAATTCCTTCATTTCTAACTGGACATGCAGTGACAACTTGCTAAAACATTCTTTCCATTCTTTTCTGTATGAAGAATTTAAACAAGATTATTCTGTCAATACTGTTTAAATGGACATAAGACAAACATTAGAAAATTTGCGCGCCTTCCAAGCCACCCTGCTGCCTTGATATCGAAGCTCTAATGTACTGGGCAATGGCTGTGAAGTTCCCGTTGACACTTTAACTGTGTAGATTCACTACAATGTTGTCATGTAGTATGTAAGTGAGGAGGGGAAGATCGGTGTGGCCGGTTGTCATGACTACACGTCTGTCTTCTCCATCACACATCCATCATCTTCTCACCACCGTCTGTAAGCACGACCCCGACCTCGGTTAAAGCCTCTGTATGATCCTCGTCCACGACCTCGACCGCCCTGGCCTCCTTGACCTTGACCTAATGTAATGAGAGAGAGAATTAGTTCCAATCACATATGGCCATTATTCTGCAGGTCATATATCTGTGTTTTATGCAGGTTTTCATTTGTTTTGAGATCAGTGTTGGTGACCGGGGAAGAGAAAATCCATTTTGTAAGTCCCGCCGAACCCTAAATAGTAGCCGTTGTCTGATTGGTTAAATCCGTTCGGTCATCTTGCGTTTGATTGGATGGTCATAGGTCACTCAAAGGTTACCTTACGCGACCTTCCACAAGGTTTTGTTAGACTCAGTATAGCAGTGTAATGAATAATACTGAGCCTAAGTTTACTTAGACTGCAACTGAGTGAACCATACAATCATTTTACAATTAACTATCAGTCACAATTACCTTGAGGGTAGGTACCTGCTTTTTCACTGAACTTTCCACCCGGAGGAGAGTAGAGTTGTCTCCCTTGTTTGTTTACTTTCTTTCCTCCAGACCCATCCGAGTCAAATGTGATTGGAGTGATTCTCTTCTGGCTGTAACATCAAAGGATACACATTCTCATACCATTGAATAAAGTCTGGGAGCTACATCAGGGAGCAAATTCGGGAACTATCTCTTGGATCACAAACTTCTCTCACTTAATGTGATTCACCATAGCTCCTATCAAACTGCAGTGATTTACATCAGCATCACCTTTGCCTCCTTAAATGATTAAATAATTCAAGTGATACAATTCTTTCCACTCAATCTACAATTTCAGGAATTGACAGTCTTATGCTGATACCATGTTGTATTTCCATGGAAACAGAAACCATCAGCTGATGCAGCTGCTGATGATACAGTGTTTTCAAAGAAGAAACTTTCACAACTGAAAGTTTTAGAGAAAAACAATCAGAGAGGTGATTCAAGAAGCGAAAACATTGGCACACCGCTCAGACTAAAGCCATCAATTGATGCAGCTACCTAATGTTATAGTGAGGTGAGGTGAAATTGGGTTTAACGTCATGCTTGAGAATATTTAGCTCATATGACAATGTGCATGCGTGTGTATGTGTATGTGCGGCTGCTTGTACTAGCCCAGACTGAAGCTGGTTTTATAGTGCTAGCCCACTGAGATACCATGCCGCAGTGAAGCATGAATACCCCACCAACAAGTACCATATTTTAACGTCTTTTGGTATGATGCGGTCGGGGATCGAACCCGCGACCTTCCGCTCTCAAAGCGGACGCTCTAACCACTACACCACGGAGGCGGTCTAATGTTATAGTGTTGCCACAGATGAATCTTTGACAGTAGAAGGAATCAGAGAAAAACAAAACAACAAGGGGTTGTTGATTCTTAGCAGTCTACTTTCTGGCAGTTGTACTGAATGACTTACCTAGCAGCTCCATTGGCAGCGTTTGTAGATGCAGGAGCTGTTTTCTGTTGACCAAAAAACAATTTCTGTCACACAAACAAATACAAACACCAATGATATCTTGGTTTTATTCAATGTGAAAAGTGCTCAAGCAAGTGGCAAGTGTATATAATTTGATGAATTAAAATCAACAAGTGACAGTCACAAGTCACAGAGTTGTGGCACTCAATGCATGAGGTCATCTCTTAGAGTGATCATGATTTTATGTTGCTTCTGGCAATAGTCCAGCAACACCGGGGACCCGGGACACAAGAGATGGGCTGTGCTTTCCAGCTATATGCTTGCGTCTTTGGCGTGATGAGTGAACGCTTTAACCACAAGTCTACCCTACTACCCCTTGACACTTATGACCAGCATAGGATGCTTGAATTCTTTTGTAAGTTGGATTTCAAACCTTAGTCTTGGGTGTCGTTGCACAAAACAAGCTTAGCACTATGAATATCATATGTCTATGGGAGTTACGTTCATCTTAGTGCTAATATTGCTTTGAGGAACGACATTCTGGACAAGTTACCATCATAAGAGGTGCGGTGAAATTGGGTTTAACGTTGTGCTTGAGAATATTTCGCTCCTCATATGACGACGTGCATGCGTGTGTATGTGTATGTGCGGCTGCTTGTACTAGCCCAGACTGAAGCTGGTTTTTCTACAGTGCTAGCCCACTGAGATACCATGCCGCAGTGAAGCATGAATATCCCACTCAGACACATAATACTGACTCCGAGCCGACCAGTCCTTGTTGTACCCATTAATGCCGAGCGCCAGGCAGGTACCAACAAGTACCATATTTTAACGTCTTTTGGTATGACGCGGCCGGGGATCAACCCGCGACCTTCCGCTCTCCGGGCGGACGCTCTAACCACTACACCACGGAGGCGGTCCCCATCATAAGAACTCAAATCCCAACATATATAACATTTAATTTCACTAAGATCATGATTTGCTCATCCAGAGAATTCTACTTATATTCCTAACATTGGTATGATTAACAAAAGTAGGCCTTCACCATAGAATGTGTAAGTTTGGTTTCACGCCGCTTTTAGCAATATTCAAGCAATATCTCGTCAGGGGACACCAGAAATGGACTTCACAAATTGTACCGAAGTGGGGAATCGATCCCTGGTCTTCAGAGTGACGAGCGACACTTTAACGACTAGGCTAAACCACCACATCTCCTTCACCATAGATGCTACAGAGCTACAATTTAAGGATCTTACTGTGATGGGTCTCCAGGAGAGGGTGATGGTAGCTTTGTAAGATGGTGGGTTGTGGAACAGATCCTTGATCAGTGTGTTGATGTTGGAGGTAATCTTCAGTGCCACAACCTTGATTTTGTTCTGGAAACACCATACAGCAAGGTAGGGAAATCAAGACACAACAAAGTCAATACATGTTAAATACACATCAGAAATAATCAAGCAGTGTGGTCAAGTTGGCTTAATGCTGTTTAATTTGATCACTGTTAAGGTACTATTAAGCTGTCAGTTCAGGAGAGCAGTGTGTTAAGTTTAACACTGCATTGAACAGTATTCCAGTTATATCACTGCAACTCAATGAGGAAGGAAGGCCTAAAGTGATGCATGTTTCAGATGTTTACTAGTTAAGTAAAACAACCAGTACAGGTACAGTGCTGATACAGTTTTTAAAACTCCCAAAATTCCAAGCCAGACAGCCGGACTGGTAACTTTAAAAAATTACCAGTCCGGATATAAACTTGCCTGTTTTTTATTTTTTTTTATTCTTTTATTATTTTTTTCCGTTTTTCATTGTTGAAAACCTGAAAAAATAATAATAAAAGAATAAAAAAAATAAAAAACAGGTTTCTGAATACTTTACTGTGTGTAGGCATCGCAATGAACAACATAGCACTAACAGGCAATGCACAGAGTTTAGGTAAACTGAAAGTACATGTGTTGTGATTGGTTATTGTAAAATGAATTGTCCAATCGTAAATAGTTTAACATAATTATCACAATACCTTAAACATCTCAAACTGATGACAAGGGAACCTGTCTGATATTATGAAATATTTACTGTTAGGGGTAAAAAACATCTACCAGACCACCGGACAGGCTACTTTTGAAATTTGACTGTCCGAGATGAAAATAGACCGTTCCGGACAGTCGGGCAGGCAGGAACGTTTAACGCTGGCTGATAAACCCATAACTAAATCAATGTTAACTGCGGTTGAAACACACATTCACAGCAAATTGAGACTCATTAAAACATAGCACCACCCAAAGTCCCCAGTCGAAAACTGGGGTGAATATGGGATTTGCACACACACTACACTGATCCTAATAAGTCTTCCAAGGGATGTGGAAGTTGTCCATCAGCATTAACGAGAGCATACTGAAGTTCTGTTTATTGTCATTTCGAAAATATTTCACCTATACCACAGTATGTCAGCTTGTGGGAGGACATCCTGAAGGGAATCAGATTTCAGACATTTACCACTGCAGCGTAACCCACAAGCCAGCAGGTCTGACGTTGACAAACTTAGAAACACCCAGGCATGTGCAGCTTGTGACTCTACTCACCTCTTCTGTCTTGAGCGTCTCTCCAGTCTTGCCCTGCAGTGCTGCTTTCAGCTGCTTGATGTACACCTGCACACCCCGGGCGAAGTACTGCAACCTACAGCACAACACCAGGCTCAGTGAAAACTTGTCACATCGAGTCAGCCATGATCACCACATATACAGATCAGAAGACATGTACCATACTCACAAAGCAGTTTCAGGTGCTGGCTATGTTATCATAAACACAGTATGTGGAGGTCTTTCCATGCCAGACAATAGACTTAAATCCTGGCAGGATAATACTTTAGGCAGACATCCACATCATACAGTGATGGGATATACTATGTCACTACTGGAAGAGATGTTATGAGGAAGAACCTCCAGTGAAACCAGGTAAACATCAAAATTACAAATTATCTGCCTACCATGAACAAATACAGTAAGTCCCTTGCCAAATCCTCAGGATTAACACCATTTATTGACTCTGGACAGCCAATCCACAATTCCTCGGAACTCTAGCTATTCTCTAATGGCTTCTCAATGCACTGATTTCCATGCCACAGTTAAACATGTTTCTACCTGATCTTGAAATCTTTCAGCCTCTCTGCATTGCCTTCATCTGTCAGGAACTCGGGACTCTTCCTGGCCAGTTGATGGAAAGCAAACATTAAACATTCCACAAAAGAGAACTTGAGCTTGGGTTCCTCATTTGATGACAACTCGTCGTTTTCTTCTGATGGTGGCAATGGCATATATTCCTGGAAAAGACATTTGACAAATACACAATCACATTGTGCACAACCCCACTTTCCCCGAGGAACATTTCCCCTTACCATTGGACTTCATGATTTATGTGCACCCCCTACCCCCCTCTCTCCAAAAGTCTGGATCTGCCATGTGGCTGGTTGATTGATTTATTGTTTAACCCAGCACACAGCAATATTCCAGCTATATGGAGGCAGTCTGTAAACAATCGAGTCTGGACCAGGCAATACAGTGATCAACAGCATGAGCATTGATCTACATGATTGGGATATGATGACATGTGTCAACCAAGTCAGCCAGCCTGACCACTCGATCCCATTAGTAGCTTCTTACAATAAGTATGGGTTACTGAAGACCCTGGATCTTCACAGGACGTTTTACACCGGTAACATGACCAACATTGAGGAAGAGTCTATAAACCATAACTGTACATTACTGTTCATTCAAGAAAACATTTGGTCACCAATACGGCTGCTAAGGCTACTTGATTCAGAGTCTTAGATAACACTCACCAGTAACCTGTCAAACACCTTTTCTAGTCGTTCATCAGTTTTTTCTATGTCCCCACTGAACTCTGAGATTTCTGCAAAGAGTTTGAGCATCTCCAGCTGAATGTTGACGTCTTGCTCAGGACTGGCCAGGCTGGACAGGGAGGGAAGCACGTTGTCACAGATGTAACCAACAAATGCCTTGGAATGAACATTTTTCTGTAAAATCAAAAACATACCCATCTCAGTGCACTTAATGTGGGAAGCCCATGAGCCCATTACTGGAGTCCCACATTGTGATGATGAAGGAATATCTCATGCATGGTAAAGCCATTATCTCCAAGTCTTGAGGATTCATGTACACAATACCATGGTCAAGGAAATACTTCACGCTCACATCAGTTTGTTTTACTTTTTTTTCAAAACATACAAATCCAACTGATAAACATGTTGCCTCTGTTATTACTTCAACAAAACAGTCTGTCGTTTCTAAATCTAGCCTTCATTCTTCATATCTCTCTCATAATGTAATTGCCTGGCTATGAGTTGAAGTTCTAATATACTACCCCAACCTCCATCCTGAGAGTTGTTAAAATAGGGCCATTGTGTTGAAGATTATTGAACTTGTATTATGTGGGAGTCTGGGTCAAGTTCAACAAGGATATCCCTACACTGACCCCAAATTGACCTTTTACAAAATTGTCCGATTGAGGTATTTATTATATGTGTATAAGGTAATAATTAATACAGAACCTAAACAGCCGGCATGCCCCACAAAAGAAGTCTACAGTTAATAATGAGGCACTGTACTTACAGAGAACAAGGGGATGGCAGTTCGGACACACTGCATCAGTCTGTCTACACAATCTGTATCTGTAACCTGCAAGTCAAAGTGCACATTGAACAAACATGAGCAATATAATAGCATTCCAAGAAAAATGACACACACACTTGAATGTCCAATTCCAACACAGGGACAATCTCAATACCAAGTTACAAATAAAAAGCATTGTTAAGTCATGAGCTTTAAAATATTGAACAAACTTTATGGATAACAACTCCTTTTATTTTGTTATCAATAAATAATTATTAATCAAGTTTGCTCAATATTTTACATCGCAACTAACATGCCACTCGAAGTCATGAGCCATAAAGGTTGCATATCGTCATATGCATGACGTTCTGCCTACCTCCAATGCTTGTCCAAGCTCGGCCTGCTCAGTGACGATGTCCACCAGCTGCTGCCTACCCTGGACAGTGCTCATCACTCGCAGGTTCCGCAGGATGTCCATCACAGCAATGAACTCATCCTTCGTAACATCATCCAGCACCTGCAGGAGAAACAGCAAACACTGACTTACTCGGGAAACTTATCAGGACTGATTCAATCACAACTTAGAAGACACACAAACAGCATGCGCATTTCCACATGCACAAGTGCCCAAACAATCTGATTATTATTACCCCAGATAACCCAGGCTGCATGTGAAGGTTAGTGGTTACATGACCACCGGGTACCCATTTTCTGCTGGGTGAACAGAGGCAATTTCGAACAAACTCACTTGCCTTAAGTGAGATCACAATATGTGTGCTTCGTTGTGGGGCAGGACTAAGTCCTAGAAACTCTCACGGTCACCCATCCAAGGACTCCCCGCCCAACATTGCCTAACTTCACCTGATTTGTGACCAGAGCTATATGCACAGGACCACATGCCACACAAGTCTCTTCTTGTGGGAGAGGTGATTTCCAGCGAACTGGACACAGTAATAATAACCTTCAATAATACGGATGTGCTATCTGAAGCAGCACTCAGCAATATTTCACCTACATGATAACTACATGAAGATAATTGAGTTTGGACCAGACAATCCTGTGACTATTACAGTGTACAACGATCCAAGTCATCAGGCTACAATGACAAACCTTTAACCAAGTCATTGAGACTGCCCTGATACATTCAGTTACGACCAACATAAGTTGCTAGGTGCCTCTTTAACTTGAATCCCAACAGCACTTCCATACATTCTATATTCATTGCATGTTAAGTCCACAATGACCAAAAGTAGGGAATGTGTCAGTAAATGTTACCCCTGGTATATGACCATGGCTTTCACCTGTGAAGATCCAGGTTAGAATTGATCTTCAGTAACCCATGCTTGTCGTAAGAGGCAACTAACGGGATCGGGTGGTCAGGCTCACTGACTGGGTAGACACATGTCATCGTATCCAAATGCGTAGATCGATGCTCATGCTGTTGATCACTGGATTGTCAGGTCCAGACTCATTATTTACAGACTGACCACCATATAGCTGGAATATTGCTGAATGTGGCGTTAAACAACAACCAAACCAAACCACTAGCACAAGGTAAACATGGTAAAGGGACCTAGTATTTCCTGTCCCACTACATCCCTGGTCAGTCCTGGCTGTAACAAGTTGACACCTCCTGACACTACCCTGTCCACCAGACAACACCTACCTTCTTTGCCTGTGTCATGATAAACTCCTCTGCATGTTTGTCCATCGCTTCTTCTCCCAGCGTCTTCAGTTTCAGCACCAGGAACTTGATTGCTCGGTCTCTCACAACATCGTCCTCCTCATGGTCGGCTAGAATTTGACTGAATATTCCCTCCAAGGCACCTGCACAGTCACAAAACCCATCAGCATGATTAGCAGAGTCCAACATGTTTAAACGTCAATATTATAGTTAAGGCTTCCTATATTGTTAGCCATCAGTATCCTTAATATAACATATGTTATATTTGGGATTACACTTTCTTAGTAAAGTACAAATTCTAGTACTTTTTATAGTTGAGCCCCATCCGGGATTTGAACTCACACCCTCAGAGTCAGGCACCTAATCGCCAGCACACAAAGTCAGCTGCCTAACCCGCTCAGCTACTGCAACTTCCACAAAAATGGAAGTCGGACAACTGGTAGTCTAGACTGTGGGCTTTGTGTACCCCTCTGATAGGTGTTAATTGGCACGGTTCCCAAGGCCGAATCCCGGATGGGGCTCAACTCAAAAAAGTACTAGAATTTGTACTTTACTAAGAAAGTGTAATCCCAAATATAACATATGTTACATTTGACCACTTTCTAAATGGCATTGTGTAATCACAGTATCCTTAATACTCGCTAGAGCTAAACAATGATCTGAAAAATATCCCACAACAGATCACATCAGATCAACCTTTCATCTGACTAATCGGACACACTGCCTATCAAATCTGGAAGTGACAGTGGGAAAGTGTTTCTTAATCATGCAACTTGAAGTATTCTGAACAAACATCTTAAGTTCGACAATTCCACCAAAATTGTGAAAATCATAGCCCTCTCTCTCGCTTCAGTGAGATTATCATTCAGACAGAAGTGAATTTCTGTAGCCTGTTGGCAGTACTGCCACATAATCTAAACCAGTTATTAGATATTGCAGAATATTCAAAATTTTAAATCTAGAACTTTGTCAAAACAGCATAGTCCGGAATGGGTAATCTCCATTTTGAAACCTGTGTCAAAGTGCTCCCAAAAGACTTTCATATCGGCTTATGTCATTTCACTAACAGAACAAAGTTCACGATATGGCAATGTCCCCACCACTAAAGAATGGAATATCTACTTTTTATTTTTGAAACAAGAGTTTCCAAAGTGGTCAAAGTGTCAGGGTGATCTTGAAAATAAGGTCAAGGTCAAGGTCACCAAAATCAACTGGTGTATGTGTAATCCCCCAATGCAGTCTTTCACCAAATTTGAAAACATTGGGTACAACAGTTCATGAGATATTCAACAAGAATTTGAACAACATACATGAAAATAATGTACAATACAGTTCATGAGGCTAAAAAAAATTGGGATGGACTTGAAACTACATGGGTTCTTATATCAATGTGTCGAAAACCACACAGTAAGCTGTGTTTATAATAACACACTTCTAACAAACTGTATGTTTGGTCCTAGCTAATGTAAAAAATATTTTAGACTTGAATGCATTTCACTTATATCAACAAACTGAAAACCATACAGTAAGCTGTGTTTATAATAACACACTTCTAACAAACTGTATGTTCCCTAGCTACATGGCGTAGACCTGGGCTTCACACAATTAGTCTGAATGCATTTAACCCGGTCTTCGTACAGTTATAACAAACTAAAAACTGGTAATTTCCTTTTGAGTTTTAGAAACATATTTTACCATGTTTACTGTACCTAAATAAATAGTGCTATTATGAACCATTTGAGTGCAATACTAGTCAGTATCTTAACTGATGAGAACCAGACAAGAGTTTTGTTTGCCTGTAAACTTGATAAGTTTTAATTTAAGACAGTATGTATACGACTAGTTTTCATCCATACAATAATCTATCCACAGCATTGGATGAATGTGTCCCTAAACTTATGACAAGATCGTTGGGATGAACAATGTATGCATTACAAACCTTTGGTATTGATGGAGAAGAGGGAGTAGAGGGATGTCTGTACATTGCTCAGCTCAGCTGAATCTTCACATGCCAATAGCTGAGTGAGAGCCTCCGCTATCTTCGGCACATGCTCAGGGCTTACTTTACACAGGGACGGCAAATCTTTGATGGCCTGCTTTCTGATCTGAGAAACCATGAGAAACCGAATTTAAAACAGGCCCAAATGGTGTAGGTGATACTGCAATTAGCAGTAATTTTAGAAAATGATAAACAAAGTAAATACTAAAGATAAGTAAAGTAAATAGACCATGTGCGACCTTGGCAAACTTGACATAACGTGCGCTACTACAAGGATAGTACATCTTCCATTTTTGCATATCTCACTTTGAAAAAGGACATAACAGTTCAAGTAAAACACACTCCCTTAAAATATTCGTTAATATTCGGTTCTGGTGACCACGAATAACGAATTGAACTCATGAAGGGCTACAGTTCAATTCACCGAATATGCGAGTGAATTGTAACAGCCTTAGTAAATAGTAAAGATGCTCGCCATCCCTAAAAATATTTAAAACATCATTTGTGATGTCTATGTATGTGATGCAGGGTGACATGGTTTTTAACATTTGCACTTAAGATTATTGTACTTAAAAAGCAATACAATACATATGCAGTGTAGGAAAGATGTAGAAAATCTAGCCTGTCCACAGGACTGGCAGGTCAAATTTTTTACCAGTCCTGCCAAAATCTAGCCTGTCCTCCAAATATAAATAAAACACCTTCGGCAGTAAATATTTAAAAAGGTTATAATCATTATATAATATATGTCATTGGTTTGCTAAAATTGACCCGACATGAGGACGGACTAGATATTTTTTTAACCCGTCCTCCACAAAATTCACCCGTCTCGGACGTTGGGACGGGCTATCTTTCCTACACTGACATATGCAGTGTGTAGCTGATTGTACCAGTTTGGGCTTAAGATGGTAATAAAAAGGCTACCACTGAGATACCAGTTTACCATTGATGCCCAATCCAGACACTGTAAACCAGATTAAACCAGCCGTTTACCTCAATGCAAAGGGCCAGACATGGCATAAAGAGGTACAGTATTTTAACATCTTTCACCAATTCACATTCTGGGGAAGAAACTCTATCCACTGTACCCAACTGGCATTCAATGCCATAAATTGATAATGAAAGTACAAAAGCATGTACATGATGAATGGCTAGTGTTGACATTAACCTAACTAGTGTTCAGTAATCTACCCTGGAAATATATACTTACATTGACATCACTATCTTCACACAAATCAAACAGTGCATTGATTGCTTTTGGAGAAAGACTTGGGAAATATTTGAAGAATCTTGCAATGAACTGTGATGCTAATCTTTTCTCTCCAGCTGCACCCTTGACTGCATCCAGGAAGGACATGTACTCTGTGGTGTGCTGGAAATAACATGACAGGGCTACAATAGGTGCAGTGAAATTCTTCAAAGGCATTTAGAAGTTGGTATAGTGATACAAGACAAATGTTAAGGATAACAACTTCTTTATTTGTTTCTCACGACGTTTCTGGGCCAGTTCTTGCCCTTTCTTCAGGTGGATCATAGTGCTACAAGTGTATTAACGCATGCCTGTCACTTAACGCCTGGTGACAACATGGAACTGAACAAAGTGATTTCTTTTTTTTAAAATAGCATGGTACATGTACATGGGTTATAGCTAAAACAGTACCAAATTTGTTTGGCGAAAATGGCACCATCTTGGTGAAAACGGCTACTGATTTCTGAGCTAAAACGGCACCATATATAAAACAAAGTATGACGTTAACTTTAATGTTTTATTTCATTTCATTATAACATTAGCAAGATTATAACATATACAAAACAAAATATGACGCTGAGATTTAATTTTTAGTACATTTCATTAACATTTCTGGTGTCCGCGTCGTGATATTTCTGTGATACAGAAAGGCCGGTACCACAAACATAATTCACAGTCGTCACTAGATACAGCATGTTGGTTCTTTCTGACGGTCTTCTCTCATACAACACAGTGGTGAGCATTGTGAAGAATGATATGTAATGGGTACATTTGTGCGTTTTAAATACAGTTTCATTCTGACAGTGAGTTTGGGCGATTTCAGTTGAGTAAATGTACTTAAAACATCAAAGGTTGCAGTGTTTTCACGCTAAATTGAAATGCCCCTTCCAATCACTGTTGGCACGGTAGATGTATATATTATCTAAACATTTGGCAAGAAGAAGTTCTGTTGTGTCCAAATGGTACGTGCAATGGTACGTGCCATTTTGCTGGTGTTCCGATTTAGCCTGAACCCCATGTACTATCATGGTGTTGGTTTAACTGTTTGATCAATATTAGCACCTGATAACTTAGATCAAAAATATTGGAAATCAAGTGACACTTGAAAAACTGGAAAATAGTGTACGAAGGAAGAACATCTAATTGTACTCCATTTACGATGTCATCAACATTAGTGTAAGATGATGATGGGAAAACAAAACTGTCGTAATCAAATTTTAACAATCTACATCCAATCTAGTAGTAGTACTCCAGGCTAGAATGCACTTTACCGGGCGCAGACCTCGCTGCTCCCTTTACGATCCTTAGGGTTAGGGTATGCCACCCTTTACGATCCTTAGGGTTAGGCACCCTTTACGATCCTTAGGGTTAGGGTAAGGGTACTACCCTTTACGATCCTTAGGGTTAGGGAACCCCAGCAACGCTAATTAATCTGAAAAAGTGCGCCTGGTAAAGTGCAGTACTCCCCTCCCGTACTCTATTTACAATGTCATCAACATTAGTGTAAGACGATGATGGGAAAACAAAACTATTCAATGACATTTTTTATCACTCGATCCTCATACAGGATTTCGCTTCATCTGAGTCTCTGACTGACAATGGTTTGTCAGTTATAAAGAGAAAATATCATATTTTTTCTACCGGAGATCCATCAACAAGAAACTATAATGTTGACAGGAGAAAATATTGTTTTCCCATAAATTTAAAAAAAAAAACATAAAAGGAAAACAAAAGCCATGGTAAGCTTTCGTGGCTTCTCCATAACTCACAAGAACAGAAATAACTAAAACTCAGGAATTTACCTCTCCGGCTTTGTCTTTAGCGTCTGCTAATATCCCGAAATTCTTATATAATTCCTCTACCGATACCATTTTGAACTCTTAAAGCAATACACGTTTTAACTACGAATTTGTCTCAACGCGTCAAAAAATCATGCGTGCCGGATGCGCACAGGAAGTCACAAATTCAACTTCCGATCTCAGTTGCTTTAACCGGTGTCACTTTTGATATGCGCACCGTATTATGCACTTTACAAATAACACTAGACAGGAGCCGATACAATTGCAAAACCTTAGACATTTTAATACAGCACTAAATTATACGTCATACTGCCATATATCGTACCTAATTATCACAGTTTTGATATTTTTATGGCTAAGAGGACATATACCATCTGACCTAAGCATGTCACATGATCAAAACATGGCGGCAGTTATCTAAGCGCTTTTGGTCAACTCCAATTCATGTTCAGGCTGTAATCGCCGTAATCTTTATGTGTCTGCATTGTCACAGGTCTCAAATACGACTATTAGATACATTTGCATAAAGGTCAGCCCATGTGCAAAATTATTGCTTATTTTTGTTGACTGTTGTTTATCTACTTTGCACAGTTCTAGGCTACACCCAAGCCTTCAACATAAACAAAGGGACACCACCAACGACATTCACTTAGAAATTTTCACTTAGAGATTGTTCTTTACTCAAAATCAGTTGTACTTGAATTTTGTTCAAATGGTCTTTGATTAAATTGTTTTATTAAGTCGTTGATTCTCAAATATATTAATCTGTTCACTTGATCAAACTAACAATGTTAGTAACATCCCTTCAGCTGCAACATGTTACAGAACTTAACCTAAATTCTTGGATAACCTTGATTCGTGGATCGCGGAAATAATCATGCTAGCTCGAAAATTAAGTCTCAACTGACATCACGAAGCTGTACTTTTGATGAACATACAATGCTACGCCTCAACTGACAAAAAAGTTCCGAATCTGTGCATTACATGCAAGTACACTAAATATAATTGTCCAGCATTGAGATAAATAGCCCCAGATCACTAATACCACCATTACCAAATTTTATTTTTACAAAATGTCAAGTAAAAAGATACCGTTAGCTCCAACATTCTCACTTCTCGTTGTCTGCTTTCCTTAGTGTCAATGCTTACTGCAGTTGGATGTCATACATAGCAGTATAAAGTAAAAGAATACGTAATCCATGAAACAAGGTGACGTCACATTTTGTGGGCACACGAATAGGTGATGATTGCAAATGGCTTCCGTAAACAAACGTTTCATTCACGAGTGGAATATTCGACATTTTCAATTTGCTGAATCACTGAATAAAGTAATCAGCGCGTATACAAAATGAAATCATGCATTTAAAATATGAATTTCGCCGCACTTCCCTTATATCCACGAATCAAGGTTACGCGAGTGTATATTTGGGATTACGCTTTCTTTGTAACATATGTTGCATTTGACCACTTTCTAATATGGCATTGTGTATTTCATCCCTTCAGCTAAATCACACATCATCATTTGCTTGTTAACAGTGATAGGATCTACACCGAAACGTCGGTACTACTACTGCAAAAACAAAGTTGTCTATCCATAAAAGTGCTCCACTTCATCATACCAGCTTCTAAATGCCACTTAAGGAAGTTAAATCACACTACTCTGCTACTACAATCAGGGATAATCTACAGCAGTATTCTGTTCTCCCCTGCTACAATACATGTCTTGGCATGTGAATGTAGCAGTGTGTGTTGTCCCACAGATGACAGCCTATTTTGTCAGTTGTAACTGTGAGTAGGTTACTGTTGCTGAAGGGGTCGCTGTCAGTACAGGCACTACATTTGTGTACCCCAGGTATGTTTCCTTATGCAGAAATGTACCCTAAACAAAGTCAAAATACTGAAACTACATATCTGTAGTACCTTTACCAACAACAACCCCTTCATGGTTACTATTGCTCACTCACTCATTTATAATGACGGGCATGTTGGAAAAAGTGTACCACTGTTTCTGCTATAGGATTAACAAATCAACAAATCATAACATGTTACAAACTAGAGCCAAAGGGCTTTGTAGTTTACTCAAAGCTTTCTTCAAGATTACCTATTGAATCGCACACATGCACGCACGTACATACGCACGCACACATATACAATATATATGTTGAAATGGAAAGGTAGCATAAAAGAAAGAAATTGACTGAGCAAAAGAAATGCAGATGTAACCCACCTTCTAACTGTATATGTGTGTTTTATCCAGTTAGAAGGAAGACCTCCAGAGGAACAATCACTAAAGATGGTATCAATTCCTAAGACCACACTTTCTGGTGGTCTGGAGATAGCAAAGATTCTGAATGGAATGTGGCAAGTGTCTGGTGCCCATGGCAACATAGATCCCAGTAAAGCAGGTACCCATTACAATTTTCCCCTTATTTGTCCTTTGTTATGTTTATCATGTTTTGTGCCATTCAGGTCAATATAAACAAGTTTATTTGTCTTTCTTCAGTTGCATGGTTACAAGTTAATATGCAGATATGAAGTTTTAGGAAAGTAGTATGAACAATAATAGTAATAAATTGTACTGTCCACTCTTTTATTTTGAAAGAAATGAGGTTTTGAAAATAGCATACATCTTTTAAAGGATTGTGTGATTATACCTGTTGCCTCAAGAGTGAGTTGGTTTCTTTACTTTCCGCAACAATACCAACTGGGCACCATGCTCTTTCTTTCTGTTAGCCATGTGCTAAAGCTGTTAAAGGGCCACTGATCCAGAGCGATTATTGTTTCCAGCCAACAGTCTAATTTCAAACCTAGCTGCAAACTGGTCAGCCTCTGCTCCCTCGACCATGACGAACACGGGACTGGGCTACTGTCCACCCTGGCAGAATTTCTTCAACCTAATCAGTGGGACATTAGGAAGGGTGGATGCCCATCAGATGCCATTATTTGAAAATATCCCAGTAGTTCTTGTCTGATTGTAATAAAGTATCCCATCAGTGTAGGCTTTTTCACATTTTCAAATGTTTGGATGGTATAGTGACTGATCCAATTTGATCCTATTTCTGTGTTTTTTACCTCAATATTTAATCACGTAAAAATATGATGTCTATTATGTATGTTATGATATCAAAAACACACATTTGATATATTTGAATCCATAAATTAAACAACCCCACTTTGCCATTGCAAAATAAATCTGAAATTTTACTTAGGTACATAGGTATATACAGTTTGTAACTAAACACACTGCAAATGCTTATATATATTTCTTATGTAACAATGAAGTTCAGTTGGTATCCTCAAAACAGTGTCTGCCTATAAGTTTTTTTCAGGCAATCAAACTTGCATGCAATACAGCGATTACTACTCTCTTGCTGTAACCCTTGTTTGGTGGTAAACCTACACATGTTATTTGTCATCATTCACTTGATGGTCAGTTAATGAATTTATAACAGGTATAATTAGTGATAACACCACTCAGATTACCCGACAAAGGTTCCCATTTGGCATTTCTTGTGTCTGGAGTAAATACTCATCATTATAAATTGAGGTCTGATGTGGCAAATGTATTACATCTTATGTAATATGTGCATGGAAGTGCAGAAAGAGGAATTATCAGCTGAGTTACAAAAACAAACATTGATCAAAGGATTAACCGATAACACGCTGATTGATTAATTGCTTTTATCCTGCACAGCGGATTTGTCAAAAGGTAGTGTTTATGTATGTAGATTTACTAATCTATACTGAATACACCCTGTCGTAAGTCTCTTTGTAAAAACAATGTCCTTCCTTCAAAGGATGAACTGCCAATACATTGATTGATTGCTCATTATTGGCTAACTAAATTACTTTCTAAAGAATGACGGACATCATACAATTAGTTGCCAGGTGAAATATGATACACGTTGGCAATCTATAAAATGTCTAGATATTACAATCATGTTATAAATTCACTAAGTATGAGCAGATCGTGTGCATTTTATTAAGTTTCAAAATGCATACAAATATGATAATAAACTAATTAGGATTAAAAGACAAAATATAAAGACGTACATTGACTTCGTTATTTCAGTCCTAACATTTTTTACCACTGGCAGATGGTTAAACTGAAAATGTTTTCATTTGTTATCAAAATAATGCCATTTAATACAACATTCAGATTGACTAGTAGTGAACCCAAGCTCACTACTCTCCCCAAGACTCCCCATGTACTTAGTTAGCCTTACTTTCAAAACAATGCTATTGTATCAGGCTTCTCACCAAATTCAAGGGAAGAGGTCAAAATGGCCACACTACAAAAATGGCCACACAAAAAAGTCAAAATGGCCACAACCCCTAGTCAACATTATGCTTCTTAATATATAAATTAATATTCAACAGTTATATATTTGGCAAGTGTGGACATAAATGGATATATCTTGAGAGGATTTTCGACTATCAGAAGTATTATTATATTAACAAATATAAATATAACAAATACAAAAGTGCATGTACATGAAGAAAAAACCTACATTTATCTGTCTTGTTATTTGTTGAAAATATGATTTGTTGATGTGTAATAAACATCAAGTTTTGTCTGATATAACTTCTTTTGTCATTTTTACACCTTGATATCACATAATGCAACATGGGAAAATGTTATGAGTATTAAAAAAATATAAAAAATAATGTGTGGCTGTTTTGACTTTTTCTATGGCCATTTTGACTTTTGATGTGGCCATTTTGACTAGGGATTTGTGGCCATTTTGACTTTTTTTGTGGCCATTTTGACTTGGATGTTTTATGGCCATTTTGATGTGTGGCCTTTTTGACTACGACCCTATTCAAACTATTTCTTAATCAAATTGGGGCGGTGGGGTAGCCTAGTGGTTAAAGCGTTGTCTCGTCACGCCGCGAAGACCCGGGTTCGATTCCCCACATGGGCACAATGTGTTAAGCCCATTTCTGGTGTCCCCGCCGTGATATTGCTGGAATATTGCTAAAAGCGGCGTAAAACCAAACTCAGTCAGTCTTAATCAAATTCTACATCCATTTACGTTAACATATTTATAAAGTCAACATTACTATGAAATCAAAATTTTACATCAAAATCAGCATTTTTATCAAAGTGAATATTTTTGTGTAAGAAACCAAATTATTCATCCAAGTCTACATAATTTTACAACAAAATCAACATAAGATTATTGAGTAAAAAAGATTTCATCTTTGTTGATCAGTCTATACTTATACTATCAATTGCTCTTGAGGGTGGTGCAGCAGAGGTAACGAACCAGTCTTTAATTCTGGGATATCATCTGGGTACTCACTAGAGAAAAACATTAACAAAAGCAACAACCAGTCCACGGAAATTGCTCTGGATCAGTGGCCCTTTAAGTGAACCCCTGTTATAAAATGTTAATGGGATGACCATTTTAAAACTCTTGGAATAAAAATGAGATTATTTTTAAAACAAATAATTTGTTGCAAAACAAACAGGGAAATATCAACAATTTGTCTTCATGTTTTAACAAAAACAAATATTGTCTTGGAAAAGATGTGTGCTTTTTGCAAATTGTTTGGGTCCTTTCAGTGTCCAATTGTGTGTTTTAATGTCTTCAACAAAAATCGAATGTGAATCAATTCACAAAGACTTACAAGTACATGTATTGATTTCAGTTGAGGAAATGCTCAAGTACTATGATGCAGGCCTCACAACCTTTGACCTAGCAGATATATATGGCCCAGCAGAAGAGATATATGGTGCCTTTGTACAGAAGGTAAATTAGTTGACAAACAAATTGAATTTTCAATCACTCATTCACAAAGAATCTCATACATTGATTTATCATGACATGTTCTGCAGCAGATGTCACTACAAATCTACGTGTTGGAATATAATATTTCCAAATGCGTGCTATTTTAGGTATAACTAATGTTATGGTTTTGTATAGATGACAAGGGGCGAAGTAGCCTAGTGGTTAAAGTGTTTACTCACCATGAGAAAGACCCAGGTTCAATTCCCCACTTGCGTACAATGCATGAAGCCAATTTTTGGTGTCCCTTGCCGTGATGTTGCCAGAATATCGAAAATGGCATAAATCCATACTTGCTCACTATTAGAGGTGACTTTGATTTCACTGATAAAGGGCCAATGTAACCTTTTCCAAACCGTGAGTACTTTCCATATGTTCCAGCTTGCCAGCCAGCGAGGTGGTGAAGCTGTTTCCAAGATACAGGGCCTGACAAAGTTTGTGCCCCGACCAGGACCAATGTCACGACAGGTAACCATGGTTTACTTGAATATGTTTTACCTTAAACTATTTGGTTCAGACCAACATGGAAAAGGTGTTGTTAGAACAATAATATACCAGTATTTATGTAGGGAGATGTGTGTGTGGGAAGGGGGAGCAACTGTTTCATACTTAGTCGTGCACACCCTGACTTTGTTTACTAGTATTTATATTTTCTTACTTTGAAAATTTGTAACTCTTTGTTGCCAATATGTAACCAGCCCTAACATGGAGTCGTGTTCTCCATGTCTTTGTATACCTATCTGAAATGAATAAAAATATTTTTTATTAACAAAACTGTTTTATACTTTGGTGAAATGAAAATGAAAATGCCCCTTATGCATGATTTTTTGCAATGCTAATTGTAAGAAATAGGGTTTTAAATGTTTTCTTCTACCAAAATGACAAGCAATTAATGTGAGGTATCTTTTTTTCCTCAACATTTGTTACCACTTGCTTTACGGTTTAGTCTGGCTTAGATATATATGCAACCAAGCTTTAAAACAGGTTTAACCTTGGAGCCATGAATCAATATCAGTGAAACCTGTTATTTATATAGGAAATGTTTTGGAAGTATCCTTGAAATTCCTTGACACTGACAAATACCCTAATACAGTCAAGATGTGGCATTTATCTTATATGTACATAAATCAGTAACATCAGAGTTGCTTCGAATCAATGTTTTCATTTTTCTGTTACTGCTAAGTGCTTCTGTTTATATATGGAATAGATTTAAAAGCGCAGGCGGATCCAGAGGGGGGGGGTTGCAGGGGTGCGCACCCCCCTTTTGTGCTGCAAGTTTGTTAAATGACCATTGAAACTTGAAAATGAAGTGTGCACCCTCGTAAAAAGCAGTATCCTACTCTGAAAGTATGTACAATCTATTTCATGAACATTTCAAATTGTGTAAGTTTCAAGTTTAAGTTGTTGTTTTTAAATTGGGATGTTGATTTAAAGGAACTTGAAATTATGTGTTTTGAGGAACCGTATCACATGTGAAGATCCAGATTAGAATTGGTCTTCCGCATCCTGTGCTGTTTGTAAGAGGCGACTAACGTGATCAGGTGGTCAGACTCACAGAGCTGGTTGAGTTGGCTCATATTGTCAATCACTGGATTGTCTGGCCCAGTTTGATTGTTTTCTCACTGCAGTCACATAGCTGGAATATTGCTGACAGAGTTGTCTCCCTTCAGTTGCATACTGTCTGATTGTCTTTGAGTTTGCAGACTTGAATTTGGGCTGGCATGTTTAAGAGGTTATGTCTACCATGAACCAAGAACTCATTTGTTCTGCTGTTTCAGCTATATTTATCTCCAACAGTCCAAGGACCCTTTCTTGATTCTGTTTTCATGTCTATAGTATATATCAGCCAGCCATAGGAATTTCATTGGTTGGTTTGTTGTTTAACGCCACACTCAGCAATATTATGGTCATATGTGACGGTCATCTGTAAATAATCGAATCTTGTCCAGACAATCCAGTGATCAACAGCATGAGCATCGATCTATGCAATTGGGTTATGATGACATGTGTCAGCCAAGTTAGAGAGCCTGACCATACATTGAGAAGGATTTGTAAGTCCATTGCGTCATAATATCTATGACAGCTTGTAACGCCAAAAGAACAGCATAACGGTATATGCTGCCGGAATCTTAGCACTTCATTCTTTATAGTGGTAAGACCCCATCAGTGATAATGTATACCTTGATGCCATTGTATTTTACATTCTAAGCCCCTATGATAATATTGTCATCTGTGAGGTGATGTTGGCAGGTGGTCGAAGGGGCCATTGTTCAGTCAGTGCAACGGATGAAGGTTTCCCACCTGGACTGTGTCCAGTTTCACTGGTGGGACTACTCGGACAAGAGGTACCTGGATGCACTGAAACACTTGCAGGATCTCCGGATGGAGGGAAAGATAGGTACTGTATATTTAACCAACATCAAGTTGTCTCTGCACATACCATTGTCGATCCCCACCCTGAACCATGACAAATGGATGATATGTAGCAGGGTCACGACCATTAAAGGCACAATGTCACACATTTTCTACAATATTTTGGCCTGTATTAAATATATTGGGGCATATGCACTCACGTTAGCTTCCTGTTGATGCAATAAAAGACTTATTATCCCTCATATCGATAATTGAAACTTCGAGCAGCTTCCAAACTGAGAACACTTGCCATATATGGAATGTAAACAACTGCTCCGAAAACTGTTGCACGTGGTGTTGTCAGTGTTTGCCGAATTGGTTTTTATCACAAGTTGTGCATAGGATATTCGTAAAGAGCGCTCTAAGGGACGTAACTCTATGGGGTTCGCTTGAAATAATGTTCGGCCGGTAGAAGGCGCGAGTCGATTTAATGCAATGTTGCATAAATTCATTCAACTTTATAATTTAATATTGTAATCTAAATACATTTCTGCAGCTGAAATATCTAAAGATTTTGATAACAGTAAGCTATAGTAGTAATGATCTCAAACGGACCACTAGTTTTAGTTTGTCATCACCATTCGTTATATGTATTTCAACTGAAACATACAGCAAGTGGACAGGATAATAAGCAGTTCATTAGTCAGTTAGTTTTAAGTGTGGCCGCTATAAACATACTGTTATCATAGCCCATTAATTTTCGCTTTTAGTGCAAAAAAGATTGTGGCCAATAATCATATCAAGCAAAATATTCATGACAAATGCTCAAGTAGGGACAAGATGCAATTTATAAACAACAAACACTTTATGATTTCTATGTTTAATTATCGTAAGTACTTATAGTATACACTCTTCCTGAATTCGCCCAGTTGATCTCGTGATATGGGACAGGTGTGTTGTCATGTTGACACAAGTATAATACCACCTCTCTGTGATTGTTTTAGTAACACAATTCAATTGTGGCGGCTAGCTTTGATCATTGCATGTCTATCGGTTGTGATACCATCACTCAGGTGTTTGAAATGCTGAAAAACAATTTGCTTAACAGGTCTTATGTGAACTTTCCGGCATGAAATTGCACCCCGTGAAAATATGTACAATAGTTCACGGTGCTGGTGTACCCAGCTGCAGGTATATGTGAGATTTTCTTCACTGTTGAGGTGTTTATAGGCATCCAGTTGTGCACACTGACCGACTTCATCCAGGTAAATATAACCTACACACTGAATGTTCTCACAGGTGAGGTGGCACTGACAAACTTCGACACAACTCGTCTACAAGAGATCATTGACCACGGAGTGACCGTGTCCAGCAACCAGGTCCAGTTTTCCCTCCTTGACATGCGGCCAGCAAGAAAGATGGCACCGGTCTGCGAGGCAAACAATGTCAAAATACTGGCATATGGTGTGTTAGGTGAGACGTAATTGCAGATTGGTTTAAACCTAGGTATCACTCATGGAATGACTTCCACTTTGTTTACATTCATAGAGGCATGGAGGTCTGTACACAGGTTTTTATCCGTCCCAAAACACAAAGACATATTGAAGTCAGTTCTTAAAAACAGACAACAAAAGTTGTGTCCGAGCTGATATGTATACTTAGGGATTGTTCATAATTTATGGCTAGGGGAGTGATGATGATTTTATGGGGGGGTCAACCATTTTCGGAGGTAGGGGGGATCATCAATTTTGTACACATCCACTAAGGGGTTTGTTAGATACCAAACCATTCATTCATTTCATAAATATGGTACTACACAGGACATCATTTAGTATTCTCTATCCAACATGTGGACAATGTTTCTTACTATCCCAAAGATAGACAGTTATATATAGTGCTGTTTTCAGCTTTCATCAGCTCTGTTCTGGTGATGTATGGACAGTATATCATTTCCTCTTAATTCATTCTTTATTGTCAGAGATCTTGCTATTTACTACAAAATGTGCTGGTTTCAGATATTTAGTAGAAAACAACCACATTCAACCACAAAGATTATTACACAGGTATCTGCCTGCTGTGTGTTGTATACAGGGGACATAACTCTTACTACCTTAGACAACATGCTCCCCCATATTAACTGACACCGGCTTTCACTGAAGGTTGAGCAAACATGCGTTTAAAGCGGTTGCTGATCTAAAGCAAGGTGCTGAGTTTGTCTGACGGGATTGCTCAGACTGTTTGAATGAAAACATACAGAGTCACTGAATATGTTGAGGGACTGTTCATAATTTATGGGGGTGATGATGATTTTTATGGAGAAGCATATACAATGTGACTGCCACTGCCCCAGCCCCAGCCCCATCCCCCAACCCCCACCACCACCACCAAAAAGAAGTTAAAAATCCCATAATTTTTCAGCATAATTTTATGATTTTAATGTACAAAATTGATGACCACCCCCCCAAATGGTTCTCTCTCTCTCACACACACACACACACGCACACACACACTCTGTTCTCTGTCTCTCTCGCTCTCTCTCTCACACACTCACACTGACTCTCTCACACACACTCACAAACGCGCATGCACACACAAACACGCACACACACTCTCTGTCTGTGTGTCTCTCTCTCACACACACACTCACATTCACTCACTCTGTCTCACTCACACTCACTCACACACACACACTCACAAAACAACAAACAAGTATCTTTAAGAGTTTGCTTATTTCCAGGTGGTGGTTTGATCAGTGAGAAGTACTTGGGGAAAGCGGAGCCTAAGGGTCGGTCTGTCCTCAACACTGCCTCCCTCAGCAAGTACAAGAACATGATAGGTGAGTTGAGCCTAACACTGTCAGTATAACACTCACACAGGAGGGGCAGCAGGTAGCCTGGTGGTTAAAGCGTTCGCTAGTCACACTGAAAACCCGGGATCGATTCCCCACATACATACGTGTGAAGTTATTTCTGGTGTCCTCTGCCATGATACTGCTGGAATATTGCAAAAAAGCGGCGTAAAACTAAACTCACTACGCAATGTGTCAGCGCTTTGAGCATGCACAGATTGGGATTCCAGAATTAGTGAGTGAGTAAGTTTAGTTTTACACTGCACTCAGCAATATTGTATCTATATCTGTAAATAACCGAGTCTGGATCAAATAATCCAGTGATCAACAGCATGAGCATCGGTCTGCGCAATTGGGAACCAAGGACATGTGTTAACCAAGTCAGCGAGCCTGCCCACCCGATCCCGTTAGTTGCCTCTTACGACAAGCGTGGGTTATTCCGCCATATAGCTGGAATATTGCTGAGTGCGGCGTAAAACTAAACTCACTCACTCACATACATATTCCCTGATGATAACTTAGTATCATTGTCGTAAGAGGCGACTAACGGGATCGGGTGGTCAGGTTCGCTGACTTGGTTGACACATGTCATTGGTTCCCAATTGGAGAAGGGGGTGCACATAAATCATGGAGTCCAATGGTTAGGGGGGAAATGCTCCTCAGGGATAAAATCAAAGCATTAAGGTAGGGTCCAGAGCCAGTAGGTGTACCATTCTTGTCTTTGGTGTTCATTAAGTACTCTACCCATGGAGATCCGGGTTAGAATTGGTCTTCAGTAACCCATGCTTGTCAGATGAGGCGACTAACGGGATCGGGTGACTTGTTTGACACATGTCATCGTATCCCAATTGAGTAGAACAATACTCATGATGTTGATCACTGGATTGTCTGGTCCAGATTCTAGTTTTTACAGACCTCCTTCATATAGCTGGAATATTGCTGAAGGCGGCATTAAACAACATAACCAACCAACGAAGCAAATCATGCAGTACTCTGATACACGAAGCCTTTGGCAATTGTCCGATATTGGAAGAATCAGTCATATATCTTGCTACATGATTTTTAAAAATAACAGAACACATTTGAGTCAATATGGATTAAAAATATTTAAATGACTTTGTTAGTGACAATCGATGATAATAGGCATTGTGTCGTGTATGTTGCTTCCCTCCATGCCCGGGGGCTTTCCATGCTTGTGTCAATTGTCTCATATTAAGGTTATTTATGTTTTCGGACCAAAGGGCACTGAACGTATCTTTGGTTAAATTTATCCTACATTGTTCATCATTCTTGTCTAACCTGTCAAATCTTTCATGAAGGGCTGAATGATATGGCTAATTGTGTCTTGTGTTGAACTGGTGCAGTCATGCAGTCTGGTACATTTCCTTTCCATCAGGAAATGTTGCTGTAAAAGTTTTAGTGATGTTTATCTTGTCAATAATTAGACCAAACCCTGAAACTCCAAAGTGGTGAATGAGTTTGGCTTTATTTACTGCTTTGAATGAATTAGAGGAATATGAGTGAGGATAGTTTTATGCCGCTCAATATGGTGAGTGGCGGTGAGCCCTTAACTCTGAAAAGCTGCAGGTCCTAAGGACCCAGGGCCTAGATTTTCGAAGTTCTCTTAGCGCTAAGATAGTCATAAGTGCCATACATTAACATTAACTTACAACTATCTTAGCTCTAAGAGAGCTTCGAAAATCTAGGCCCTGAACTATTAAAAGTGTTGGTTCCTGATCAGAATGTGTAGGCCCTATATTTTAATATGGAAATAATACTCTTAGTTATTGGGGATGAAAGAAGAAAGCAAAAGCTGTGGGTCTGCGTGGTTTTCAGTCGGCTTTGGGCCTAAGGGCCAACATTAATTTCGAACACTGGCGGTGAGGTAGCCTATTGGTTAAAGCAGGTTCAATTCCCCACATGGGTACAATGTGTGAAGCCCATTTCTGGTGTCCCCTGCTGTGATATTGCTGGAATATTGCTAAAAGCGGTGTAAAACTAAACTCGCCCACTCCAAGTATGATGAAGTGCTTGTATTGAATGGCTTCACCGGTTTGTAAGGTTTAATGCTATCCCATAGTCATTATATCCCAGCAACAGTCTTCATGAAAACTGGTTTGGGATATGTAATTTAGTCTATATTGAGTTAGTGAGTTCCAGCAATATCACGTTGGGGGACACCAAAAATGGGCTTCAATTAAGTCTATAAATCATATAAGGTCTTTCACACATTTTCAAGTAAATTGAATGCTTAAACACAATAGTTCAAATGCCTGTCAGACTAACCATTTGATATGAGCTGTTTTCTCCGACTGTAAGCTTGTTCAACAATTTGTTTCCTGATTTGTTTTGCCAGTTTTAGTTTTGTGCATTTAAGGGTGTGAACTTATTTGTTAATTAAATAGAAATTATTCTTACCTGTGTAGAAATTGTTCTTATCTGCTATTGGTTTTATACCACTACAAAATCTGAATCTGGATTGGTGGCAACAGTGTCATCTGTTAGGAACTATTGTTTAATATTTGGATAAATGTTTACAACATATTTATCCAACTATAATCTTGGAGTATATGTGATAGTTGGAGTGATGCTTTTGGAGTTTATAAATATATGAATATTGTACATTGATATACTTTCTACAGTCTTATAGTTGCAATTTTTCACATTGGAAGGAAATTTTTAGGAAATAGATATATATGTAATATTTGTCTGGAATGATAGTCAAAGAGGTTGTTCATGTCTTTTGTCCCCAGCAGAGGTACAGATAAGCTGCGTATCTGCGTAAATTACGCTAATATTTATGTGAAAACTCAATTCCTATTTAGTCTATTGCATACAAGTACGCTTGATTTTTTGTAAACACTCAGTAAATTTGATCTTGCATGCCTACAGACAAAAGTGTCAAATATCAGCTTGCGTACCGGTGGATAGATAAAGAAACAAAAGGTACATTGAGAGGCTCTATTTCAGCACATGAACTTGGCATCTTGCAGTCTTTCTTATCGCTTCTCATATTACAGATCAAATATAGATAACAAACACGTAAACGAACATTTAAACTTTATTATATTTTTACAATTAATGGAAAATGGCAAAATACCCAATTGAGTTTAGGTGAGATGGGTACAATTTATTTGGTTACTCAAAGGAAAATTAGGATACCCAATTTAGATGAACACAAGCGAATACACAACTCATTGACCCAAACAGTTATCTGTAGCTCTGTACATGGTGTTCCCTCCAGTGAAAGAACTGACTGGACACAGTTTACCAGGGCAGGCAATACATCAAATGGACTGACTGGAATTCATCTGAGTTTTAACACTGTTAACTATTCTATACATCTGATTCATACACAGTTCTGTAAGCTTTCTCTGAAGATTTCATGCATTTTATTATAAAGGTTTCAATTTCTTTTTTAAAAACACTTTATTTTGTATTACGCTTCACTCAGCAATATTTCAATTATATAACAGCAGTCAGTAAATATGATCTGGGCGAACAATCCTGTCATTTGCACTGGGGAATCTTTACTTTTTACTTCTGCTGCGTCACAAATGGTCCTGACCGCCTCCGTGGTGTAGTGGTTAAAGCGGAAGGTCGCGGGTTCGATCCCCGACCGCGTCATACCAAAAGACGTTAAAATATGGTACTTGTTGGTCCCTGCCTGGCGCTCGGCATTAATGGGTACAACAAGGACTGGTCGGCTCGGAGTCAGTATAATGTGTCTGAGTGGGGTATTCATGCTTCACTGCGGCATGGTATCTCAGTGGGCTAGCACTATAAAACCAGCTTCAGTCTGGGCTAGTACAAGCAGCCGCACATAGACATACACACGCATGCACGTCGTCATATGAGCGAAATATTCTCCAGCACGACGTTAAACCCAATTTCACCTCACCTCACCACACATGGTCCTCTGAGCAGGTATAGATTAACCCCTGATTTCCCGAGACAAACATGGTTTGCTGGAGACCCATTTTTGCCCAGAATTTCTTGTGGGCACACGTTAGATTGGTGGTCTAGAGTGCTAGGCTACTGATGGTTTAGAGGTAATGAATGACAGGCTACTGATGGTTTAGAGGTGATGACACTGTTCCAGGCTACTGATGGTCTAGAGGTGATGAGTGTCAGGTTACTGATGGTTTAGAGGTGATGAGTGTCAGGTTACTGATGGTTTAGAGGTGATGAGTGCTGGTCTACTGATGGTCTATAGGTGATGATTGACAGGCTACTGATGGTTTAGAGGTGATGACCATCGGGCTACTGATGGCCTAGAGGTGATGAGTGCCAGGCTACTGATGGTGTACAGGTGATAAGTGACAGGCTACTGATGGTCTATAGGTGATGAGTGCTAGGCTACTGATGGTTTAGAGGTGATGAGTGCCAGGCTACTGATGGTCTAGAGGTGATGATTGCCGGGCTACTGATAGTTTAGAGAATGACACTGTTCCAGGCTACTGATGGTTTAGAGGTGATGAGTGCCAGGCTACTGATGACTTAGAGGTGATGAGTGACAGGCTACTGATGGTTTAAAGGTAATGAGTGACAGGCTACTGGTGGTCTACAGATGATGAGTGCTAGGCTACTGATGGTCTACAGGTGATGATTGCAAGGTTACTTGATGGCTTAGAGATGACACTGTTCCAGGCTACTGATGGTTTAGAGGTGATGAGTGCCAGGTTACTGATGGCTTAGACGTGATGAGTGACAGGCTACTGATGGTCTACAGATGATGAGTGTCAGGTTACTGATGGTCTAGAGGTGATGATTGACTGGGCTACTGATGGTCTAGAGGTGATGAGTTTCAGGTTACTGATGGTCTACAGGTGATAATTGACAGGTTACTGATGGTCTAGAGGTGATGAGTGTCAGGCTACTGATGGTCTATAGGTGATGAGTGACATGCTACTGATGGCTAGAGGTGATGATTGCCAGGCTACTGATGGTTTAGAGATAATGAGTGACATGCTACTGATGGTTTAGAAGTAATGAGCTGCCAGGTTACTGATGGTCTAGAGATGATGAGTGTCAGGTTACTGATGGCTCTAGAGGTGATGAGTGCTCGGGCTACTGATGGTCTACAGGTGATGAGTGTCAGGCTAGTGATGGTCTAGGAGGTGATGATTGTCGTACTATTGATGGCTTAGAGATGATGAGTGTCAGGCTACTGATGGCCTTAGAGTTGATGTGTGTCAGGCTACTGATGGTCTACAGGTGAGTGAGTGTGAGTTTAGTTTTATGCCGCTCAGCAATATTCCAGGCTACTATGGCAGTCTGTAAATGATCGAGTGTCAGGCTACTGATGGTCTACAGGTGATAATTGACAGGCTACTGATGGTTAGAGGTGATGATTGTCAGGCTACTGATGGTCTACAGGTGATGAGAGTCAGGCTACTGATGGTCTACAGGTGATGAGCATGGGGTTACTGATGGCTTAGAGGTGATGAGTGTCAGGCTACTGATGGCCTAGAGGTGATGAGTGACAGGCTACTGATGGTCGAGAGGTGATGAGTGACAGGCTACTGATGGTTTAGAGGTGATGAGTGCCAGGCTACTGATGACCTAGAGTTGATGAGAGCAAGGGTGCTGTATTGGACAGGTGGCTCAATCATATAATACACTGACTGCAGTTTGCTGTGGAGAGTTGCATCCCCTGGGCGTGCCAGGAACCTATGATGATGGGTCCTAATCCTGGTTCACCTTGATTTTGTTATCGTCACTAGCATGCCAGCACACCTGGCTTTCACCAAAGATGTGAACATCCAACTCCCATAACACTTACAGCTTGTCTCCCAGATAAAACAGACATGGCTTGTTTATACTGGAATCCTGTTCAAACCTGTGTAAGGGGCGGTGGGGTAGCCTAGTGGTTAAAGCGTTGGCTCGTCACGCCGAAAACCCGGGTTCGAATCCCCACACGGGTACAATTTGTGAAGCCCATTTCTGGTGTCCCCGCCGTGATGTTGCTTGAATATTGCTAAAAGCGGCGTAAAACCAAACTCAGTCAGTCAGTCAAACCAGTGTAAAGGCCACCTCACACACTCACTTGTTGAATTTTAGGACAGACTTGATTTTACAACAATAACTGGTCCAACTGAAAAAGAGTCTTTGTATAATTATGTTGTATCTATGATTGTTTCCCTCTTGCACATATACATCTGTAAAGTTAGATTGATGTGTTTTCAGATACCTGGGGTGGATGGCCATTATTTCAAGAGCTGCTGCAGGTGCTAGATGAGATTGCTAAGACTCACAATGTATCAATTCCCAACATTGCCGCCAACTACATCCTCGCACAGCCGGCGGTCGGGGGCGTCATTTTGGGATGCCGACTAGGAGTGCCAGGCTGTGAACATATTGATGACAACCTGCGAGCACTCACTGTGAACCTTACAGACTCAGATAAGCTTGATATTGACTCTGTGTTGAAGAAAGGTCGTGACCTGATGTCTGTTATTGGAGACTGTGGAGACGAGTACAGATGATGTGTACAAAGTTTGGAGAATCTCTTACAGCTGAGATTAATGTGAATTAACGTATTATTATCTTTTTTATTGTTATTAGTTCCCTTCGCATCTTTAAAGGGAACTAATGTCACATGTCATTGATCATGATTGATCTGTTCACTTTAAACATGAGCAAACGATCATAGTTTCAAATCGTTATTATTGGTTTGTATTACAAGGGTGTATGCACATTAAATGAAACACCGAGAACAAGTAGGGTTGGTCTAAGTTAACGCACATCACGTATCGCACGTGCATTTGTTTCAGTGTACCAACTACTGCGCTTACCCCCTTGTAATACAAACCAATAATAGCGATTTGAAACTATGATCGTTTGTTAAACAACTTTTATCCTAAGATGAATAAAATTCTGAGATTCAAATGTTCAATTGGCAAGGTAAATTATGAGGATTCGCAATCTTAATTTCACTTTATTTGATTTACATTTTTGTTTAAAGTGAAATTCATCGGTACGTTTTCACTGCAAACAGACTATAGTGAGTTACGATTTTAAGTCACATCAGTAATTTTTCAGCCAAATCTTGATACACATGTTGTTAGGTGATTGGTCGCCATATGATTGGGTCATTTTGAATGTCAAGGTCAGTGAAACTAAAATCCTAAAACTGCTTATGAACAAAAAGGATATTTGCCAAACCAGGCATATATGACTTTTTGGAAAAGCTCTTCGGTAGACCTTCGACTCCTGTGAATGTTCAAGGATACCAGACTTCAAAATGGCAATTAAAATTGGCATTATTTCTTCTGTTCCTAAATTTGAGAATCTGTGTGTTGCGTAACGGTTGAAAGTTTACATATGTAGAAACTTAAAGTATGATACATGTGCCTGAAAGACGGAATGTTGTAGTTAATCAGACCCAGTTACAAAAAGAGATATTAGTGCTAAAATGTTAACAAGTGAATTGTAGGGTAAGTTGAAGAACGGGACCCAGAATATAACTACTTTGAAGTCATTCATGAACTGCTGGAATCACTTGTGGTTGTGGCTGCAGTCACTTTTGCACAGTGTTATTTATACATGTATATGTGCATGGTACACTTTTGTTTCATGAACTGAGTATGGTATGGAGGCAAATAAAAGCAGTACAAACATATTTCGTTGTAAGAAAAGCTTAGTTTCTGAAGTACCTATTAATAATAATAATAAATATACACTTGTATAGCGCTTGTTTCCAGTATAATCAACTGCTCAAAAGTGCTTGTGAGCAATGGACTGTCCTGGGAATACACAGTCTAACAGCAGCAGACTTTAAACAAATGTGTTTTCAGTAGTGATTTGAATGATTCAAACTCAGGGGCACTTCTTATTTCAAGTGGGAGGGAGTTCCATAACTGGGGGGCTGAGATTTCGAAACTTCTCTCGCCAAGTGATGTACGAGCTGACGGAAGCTTCAAGAGACACTGGTTACAAGAACGTAGAGTTCTCTCAGGTTTATATTCTTGGATGAGTTCAGAAATGTACGGAGGAGCATCGCGGTGGATAGCACGGAATGTCAGAGTCAGCACTTTAAAGTATCTAACCTATTACCTACTTCACTGCAAATAGCTGCAAAATATTCTGATGCAGTGTTAAGCCACAAATACTCACTTACTCACCTACTCAGGTTATAACTGTCACATAGCACAGGTGAGCTAAGGAACATGTTGACATTTATGGAATGGAGAACTCATCTTTAATAAATATAGAATCTCACCTGAGTTGTCTCTTGATATAAAATATATTACCACGAGTTGATAGTGTTACAAATGTTTACTTTATCAAAGAGTGTTGATATATTTGATATCAGAAGATACGAGGGTGAGATTCTATTTATCATCAAAAATCACTCTTCAGTTTTCTTTAGTTTAGTTTTCAATGAAAAATGTTCATCACTGAACATGGTATTGCCATTAGACTTGCAGTGCAGTGATGTCATAGCATTGTGACGTCATCAAGTTCATGACATCAAAGCATTGTCAGGGAATTGTACAAAATCTACTGTCAAACCGATATCTCCTAGGGGATATCATTTGATGTCACAGAATTAATATCTGCCGTGGAACACAGTTTTGGACCATAAAGAATTAAAACCTATTGACAACATAGATATTGTATTTACAGTTCTTTGTTTGTTGTTTATCACTGCTCAACAAATTTTCGAGGTGTATGACAGCAGTGTGTAAATAATGGAGTCAGGACCAGACAATCTAGTGATTGATATCCTACCTACACATTTGTGATATCAGCACAGATCACGGACCGCCTCCGTGGTGTAGTGGGTAGAGCGTCCGCCCGGAGAGCTGAATGTCGCGGGTTCAATCCCCGACCGCGTCATACCAAAAGACGTTAAAATATGGTACTTGTTGGTCCCTGCCTGGCACTCGGCATTAATGGGTACAACAAGGACTGGTCGGCTCGGGAGTCAGTATAATGTGTCTGAGTGGGGTATTCATGCTTCACTGCTGCATGGTATCTCAGTGGGCTAGCACTATAAAACCAGCTTAAGTCTGGGCTAGTACAAGCAGCCGCACATACACATACACACGCATGCACATCGTCATATGAGCGCAATATTCTCAAACACAACGTTAAACCCAATGTCACCTCACCTCACCTCACCTCACCTCACAGACCACGTGGTACATGGTACATGGTACACTGATCATGTCTGCAGGACTTTGATTGATTGTTGTTTAAGGCTGCAATATTCCAGCTATATGGTGGCGGTCTGTAAATAATCGAGCCTGGAACAGACAATCCAGTGATCAACAGCATGAGCACCAATCTACTCAATTTGGATACGTGTGTTGACCAAGTCGGGGAGCCTGACCACACCTGTTGATTGCATCTTACGAGGAGCATGGGTTACTGAAGACCCAGATCTTCACACGGGTCTGCAGGACTTTGAACAACTGTGTCCTATCTCAGCTCTGTCATAAGTCTGTTGAAGTATGCCAGATTAAGGATCGGGGGTCTTATAACTAAGACCGCTTTGTGCTGCAGGGCCTTGAATTCCACAGTGTGATCTTAAACGCTTACTGGTGAACTGCAATGCTTAACACAGGCTTTCGAAGGTTTACGATAAGGATAGCGCTAAGATAGCTATGTTGAACCGAGCCCTGGTGTTGATTGGCCAAAATGAACACGTGGAAAGAGCGTAAAATACACGTCTTTGAACAAATCACAAGAGTTTAGACCTGCCAGGTCAAGGACGCAATTCGTGCCTTGGAGTCGGTATGCTCCTCTCATCATTATACAAACTGCCGATATGAATTATGGCTATCAAGTGCTGTTTTGTTACAGCAGTAATATTGCATACTATTGCAATGTGGGTAGATTTGTTAATACGTACATATACGACACATCGATTCCGTTGATATGATTCAACATTTATTATTCTTTATTATTCCCAATGTGGTTCTGGGGCTGAGATTTTCGCTACTTCCCGTTCCAGCTTTCAAGACACGCATTTTTGTATAATAGGAGGTGCCATAATCAATTTATTTCTTCACAACTCAGGATATCCTTAGGATATTCAGCTTATCAATCGCACTGTTTCTTTCAGGTGGGTAAAACAAAAGGATAATTTGCATTCCATGATTTTTATCTAAATTATATGATTTTTCTACATTATTCAATTTCAAAATAAAGCCGGACACGCCCACCGATGCCAGGAAGACGAGACAGAAAACAGCGCGCACATGGTAGTCGATATAGCACCATGAACCAACCTTTCTTCATTGATAACCACCTGTCTCTACAAGCAGGAAGTGTTTGGGATCAAAGTAGATGAAAACGTCGACATTTTCACTTTATTACCTGTACAGATGCTATCGATAGTGTGATGTTAGATTGATATTAACTATGGATATATAATTGTCACAAAATAGTGCTTTCGGGATAAAGACATTTGTAATATATCGACCTGTCGCGACACCTAATTTGGAACGGACTGGGACACCAAAATGAGGTGATTCAAGCTTCCTGAAGAATTACCATGAAAACGACGCAATATTATAACTTTATGGAAATCCAGGTGAGTCAGGATGTTCCGGGAGTTTTTTATTCTGGTTCTTTATCTCCACACGAGGCATTATTACAGCTGTGTGACTGTAGATATTGATGGTCAGTAAATAATCCAGGATTGACCACACAATGCAGTGACTGACCTCCGAGACATCAGATGTGAGAGGACCGCCTCCGTGGTTTAGTGGTTCGGGCGTCCGCCCGGAGAGCGGAATGGTCGCGGGTTCGATCCCCGACCGCGTCATACCAAAAGACCTTAAAATATGGTACTTGTTGGTCCCTGCCTGGCGCTCGGCATTAATGGGTACAACAAAGACTGGTCGGCTCGGAGTCAGTATAATGTGTCTGAATGGGGTATTCATGCTTCACTGCGGCATGGTATCTCAGTGGGCTAGCACTATAAAACCAGCTTAAGTCAGGGCTAGTACAAGCAGCCGCACATACACACACACACGCATGCACGTCGTCATATGAGCGCAATATTCTCAAGCACGACGTTAAATCCAATGTCACCTCACCTCACCTCAGATGTGAGAGAGTGAGTTAAGTTTTACGCCGCATTAGTAATACCACGGCGGGGGACACCAAAGTGAGTGAGTTTAGTTTTACGCCGCTTTTAGCAATATCACTGCGGGGAATCACCAGAAACGAGCTTCACGTATTATATCCAAGTGGGGAATCGAACATAGGTCTTCGGCTTAACGATCGAACGCTTTAACCACTAGGCTACCCCACCGCCCCTACATCAAATGTGCAATATTGGACTTGGTGATCAACGGGCGAGCCAACTGTGAGGGTTTGGTAACTATTTATTTTCACGGTTTCCTATCACGGCATAAAACAGCATGACATTGCTTCCCCAAAGGAGTTGTTTCCAAGTGTTAGAGATTCAACCGCAAAATGCAACAGAAACATGATGGAACAAATCCTCCAGAACCAGCATCTACTGTCGCGTACCCCCTGTCCTGCATTATAAGGAAATGAGTGAGTTAGTGAGCGTGGTTTTACGCCGC